GGCCGGGTCAGGCGTCATGCCCGCCAGAGGGCCGATTCGTCATCATGTGTCGCCGACTGCATTGGCGGACTGCAGTCCAGGAAGGTGTCAAGGGGTGTCAACAGCGTCAACTGCTGGCGGCCTGGCGGCCTTGGCCCTCGGCGCGGTCCTCTCGGCCTTCTTGGCTGCAGGCTGCATTTAGGTGGTCATGGAGGCGCCCGGCCCGGCCCGGCCCGGCCCGCCTAGCAGCAAATCAAGTCGGAGCTCGGCTCTGCCTGGCCGGCGAACCAGCGGAGCAGCGGGTTGCCTATGCGGCCGTTGACAGGCGCGCGAGCAGACGAGACTCGGCCGGGGATGGCTGCTCGCCTGCTGAGCGACTTCGAGGAGTTGTTTCGGCGCTCTGTCTCTGTCGCACCCTCACGGGACGCCTCATGAGTGCGAGAAAGGAAGCGACGAAACGACTCTTGCGATCGAGCCGTGGTCTCTGCACTCGCTGCAGGCAGAGCGAAGCGCGTCCACCAAGACGATAGACGTCGTCGTCCTGAACATGGGCCCCAATTTCCATGACAAACTGAAGACCGGGGTCGCCCTCTCCCTCCCCCACGCCGAGAATGGGCTGACGAAAGCCCGCGGCGGCGTGGCGGGGATGCGGGGGGACTTGAGGTCGTGGAGAGCCAAGAGCCAAGCGTCGTCATTTTTTCCCCTCGGCTGCCGCGCTGCCGGGCTGCCATCTAGAGTCGCGTTTTGTACACAAAAATGGCAGCAGAGCGCCGCGGTGGCGGTGGCGGTCGAGGTCGCGGCGACCGCGCTAATGGGGTCAAAAAACGTAATTGTTTCATCCGCACAGCAGCACGGCCGAGAGCGCCGCCGACAGCACTGCAGATTGCCTGGCCGCGCTTTCGGACCTCGGCCAGCCTTCCGCCAGCCTGGCCTGGTACTTCCCCCACCCTTCCCACTCCAACCCCTTCCACCCACCCTCCGGGCTTCCCGCAAAACACTCTCGGTTTAATATGCGTCCTATAGCGGTTCAACATCATTACGACGCCGTCATCCTGATCCCCGCGCACGCCCCCTCCCCCCCCCTCCTCCTCTTTCGCGCGCATGACCCCCGGAGCGTGTCTCTGCGCCCCTTTTTCATCCCCTTTTTGCTCGCCCCCTCTCCGGCCCTCTCCGCGTGCGCCGTCGGCTTGGCGGAGTCCCCGCTGGGCTCGCCGCTCGGCGGGCTGCTGCTGGCCAGTTGGCAGGGCCGCCGCCGCCGCGGGGCGCGCCACCACCGACCACCACACCGTAACCGGGTTGCCGTGGTCATTCCCGCCCCGACCCAACTTACGCCATAACGGCAGCAGCCGAACGCGGAACGCGGCCACGAGGGACAGGACGGTCACGCCCCGAAGCGGGGATGCGTCAACGGGAAGCATTCTGAAAAAACGCGGTCGCTGGTTTACGCTCGCCCCCTCGCACGGCCGCCCCGCCGACAAGCTTATCACGCACTTAATGGAGCGCTCTTCTTCTTCATCTTCTGGGGGCTGACCCCCGCCCCCTCCTCGCTTTAAGGAGAGAGTAAATGATACATACGCCCTCTCTGGTGGATGACCATTTCTCCGGCACTCTTCGCGCACCACCCCTCTTCCTCTTCTTCTTCTTGTTTGTTTTGTTTGGCGTGCAGACATTTTTATGTATTCATTTTCGTCGTGGGGGTCGGGTAATGAGGTCGCCGCATAGGCCGGGACATTTTTTTTTTGTATCAAGTCTCCGCGCATATTTCTTGGGAGGGTGTGCATTCTGCACGCAGAGGGCTTGTCCGTCGAGTGAGGTCTAACAGGTCTAACCCGCCCGAAGCGCGAAGCGTCGCGGAGCATATCCATGTCATCGACCCCCTCGCGGACCCCATGCCCGCGTGCCGCCTTGCCGCCCTGGCCGTGCCCCGCCCGTTCCCCTCGTCGCTGCACTGCACGCACCCCGAGTCCCCGAGTCGTGTCGCCGTGTCGTCGGTGCAGACAGGGGGACAGGGGCTCGGCCTTCGTGGCCTCCTTGTGCTTGCAGCCGTTTACGTGAGCCGGGGCAGCACGGGGACACTTTATTTCGGAATGACGTCCCTCCATGACGGCGGCCGTGCTCGCGCTCCCTCATGGAAGACGCGTCCGGCACGCCGCCGCCGTGTCGCGCGGCCGCGCACGAAGGCACGGATAAAGAAATGGATGAATAAATAAATAGATAAAATGGAAGCGGGCGGAGGCGCGCGAGCAGCGCGACACGGATGCGAAACGCCAAGAAATGTGGTATAAAGCGCGGTCGGGGTCGTCGGCCAGCGGGGCCAGCCGCGGGGGAGTGAGTGAGCCTCCGGCTGCGGCTTGGCGGCTTGGCATGGCGTAGGCGGTTTGCGTGTAGAAGACTCCCCGTCTTCTGTCTGTCGCTCTCCAGGCAAGCAGGGGACGAGGGGAACCACCCGGAACCACCGGAGCAGAGAGGGGGCTGTGATTTTTACCGCTCTGTCGGTTTAGACGCTGGGGTAGGCAGGAATAATGCGGGAATCATTCTTTTAAGCGGACCGAAACCCCATGCATCCCCATCATGCACCTTGCCCAACTATCCATCAAACCACCTGCGACCTGGTTTCAAAGCCTGCGAGATAGTTATCATCCTTTTAGAAGTATTTAAACCTATTTTATGGATCTTTTGTGGGAACATCTCCTGGTGCCTTCTAGACTAGTAAACCAGGCGTATAGCAGTGCACGTTAATTGGCCGCGCTGAGCCCGGTGGTGACGTCACGGCACCTGGAGAGCCCTGGAACGTCCTGGAAGGGAGCGGGCCCCTCCCGCCCTACCCTCAAAGTTGCCGCGCAGCTATGAGATGCTGGCTGGATCATTAGATCACGCTCTTCGGCGGATGGTTTACAGCCCCTCCAGGGCCAAACGGCCGAGAACGCGTTTGGCCGTGTAAAGCGTTTTGCCCGACCTGGCCCCAAACACGGCGCGGTCGCTGGTGTGGTGAGATTGCGGCACTCGCGTTGCAAGGTGGCACAGGGGTGGCTTTTACATTGTAGTTGCCACTGGCCGTCTGCAGCGTGTCGGCTCCAAATGCATGACTCCCTCAGTTCCACTGTAAGTCTGTCCTCGATAGCGACTGCCCCCCCCCCTCCCTCTCTCCCGAGGTGAGGGGTGCGCGAGGAGTGGGGTGAAGGGAATTTGTAATTTGCACCGTTTGTGCTTCAAGAGGGCTTGTCTCGTCGCCCCGTCGCTCCGACGCGCTCCACGCCGGGAGAGCGGGAGCAGGCGGGAGCGAGCAATGTGTCCTGGGGATTTGTGTGATCTACCCGATGCGGTACTCGAGCCACGAGCCACCTACAGCCACCCTTCCTGCTTCCCCCACCACCCCCCGGGCTCGGGCCGGGACCTCTGGCCTCTCCTCTCCTCTCACCCACGACGCACGTCCTCGTGCAGGTCGCCTAGAGCCTCGTGCCCCTGCCCGTGCACCTGCCCGTCGGCCCGGCCGCGGGAAGCCAACTCAAGTGGCACACAAACTTTGCCGCTTCATCTACGACGCTGCGGGATTGCCTCTCGGCGAGGCGATCGCCTTTGCTCGTCTTTTCCTGTTTCTGAGGCGGAGGCGACGCGCATCCCTCTCTCGCCTGCGGAGGAATATGATGCTACCCCCCCCCCCAGGGGGTGCGAACGGTCAGGAAATTAAGGCGCATTAATTACGATCGTTTGGAAGACAAGGCCACATGCTGGGCTTTGCAAGCCGCAAGCCTCGCTGGTCCGTGGCTTTGCAATCAAGTGCCGGAGGGGGCCGAAGGACCGAAGCCCGAAAATGAAGCACCTGCAGCGCGCTGCGCCTAGAACAGGTCGAGGGTATTTCGGAGAAGCTGTACTTACTCTGTGAGATTGTCGTCTCTTCACCTTTGAATTTCGCGTAAAACTGGTCGGGCGGACCGGTGTCGAATCGTTTTTCCGCCTGCCGTGCCGTGCCGCGCCCTCTCTCTCCCCCTCCTCTCGACCTGCTTTCCTTTTTTCCCGGAGTGCAGTATATTATTCTGTCGTCAGTACGAATTTTGTGTCATCCCCCAGATTTATTGCGGCCCGTCATTTCCCCATCCCTGCCTTGCGGGGACAGGGCGTGCGCCGGCTGCCGGCTTGGGCCGTTTTATAGCGGGATATCCAAGCCTGCCAGGCGCGGCGTGGCGCGGCGTGGCGCGGCGTGGCTGCTGCACGCGAACCACTTTGAAACCGCGGGCCGGGCCGGGCGGGGCGAGGGCGACTCTCCCTCTCACCCTTCGCCCCGCGCAGGCCTCTGTCGCGACGGGACTTCCCCGGACGCCACCCGCGCCTCCACCCGAGCGCCGTCATGCACGCTGCTGCATGCAGAGTCCTACAATGGGACTGACTGTCGCTGTTTGCAGCGCAGATTGCTTGACAAAACTCACCGGTTGAAAACTGTCCAGGTTAAAGGCACACATCCATCCAACACACTGGGGGAGAACAAACCGAAAGAATGCATTGTTGTGAACGGCGATCACTTCTCCCACTTGAGTGGCCTGCTGTCTATAGCCATGCGTGTTTCTTTTTTGTTTCAGGTGAGGTGTCGCTGTGCCACTGTACCGCAGACCCGCTTTTTGGACGACTTCTCCCAGAGGTCGTCTGCTGCTGTGGGCTCCATAACTCGCTTTGACTAGTCGCTCTATCTCTTTCTTTGTTTAGTGCGGGAGAGCACTATTTTCTCTTTCCCTCACCCATTTGCTACAAACATTACTTTAAATGGAGCTCTTCAATTTTATTAAAAGGCTCTCTTAACAAAATTTTGGTTTGAAAATCAGTTAATTTTGGATATTTTGGTATTTCTAGTAATCATTGGAATCTGAAGAGCTATTTTATTAGACATCTTCCCTTTATTCACGTCATTCACTTTTACGTTGCTGTTATGCATTTGCTCTTTTTTTAAAGCTGATTTGCTTTGTATCACAAGATTTCCCCATTTTCTTATGTTTTGCATTTCTATTTGTTTCTCCTTCTGGGCTGCTTAGAATCCACTTGCGATGATGACCAATTTCAATGTCGTGATGGTCGATGTATTGACGGATTCCGTCGCTGCAACCAAGTAGTTGACTGTGAGCATGGAGATGATGAGGATGAATGCCGTATGTACTTTTCTTATCTGTTTGCTTGGTCATCTTTTCATGTGCATGCTGCAATCGCTTTTATTATTTTGTTAATTTTTCTTTCTGTGACAACAGTTAAACTATCACAAGAGTTTAAGCGCTCGTATTTTTTATTTTAACTCAGTCTGAATGTAATGTTTCATTAAGCATCCAGATTTCTTCAAAAAGATAATTTTCACTGGCAGGATTGCTTTTTTCCTAATTAATGTTCGTCTATTTTGTTGTGCAGCTTGTCGACCAAATGAATTTCAATGCAATGATGGTACATGCATTGAAGGCCACAAAAGATGTGATGGTGCAACAGATTGCCCACAAGATAATGCAGATGAGCGGAACTGCCAAACTCACCGTGAGTATTTCATCAAACTGTAGCTCTAAGCTAAGAGAGAAAATATGTTTTTGCATCTATATTCATGAAGATGTACCTCATGGTTGGTATAACTAATTGTTTGGGTGCATTGAATTTTTTTTTTTTTTAAAAGATGTTGCCTTTGACATGTTACATATATTGTTTAATACCAGTACCACTGCTTTAACCAACCAAACAATGGTGCTGGATCACTTGCACATGGTATTTGGGTTGAACTACAGCTTTATGGGTTTCCAATAATCAAAGCATGAGGCACAGCATTGTGTGCATGGCCGTTTGAAATTTTTTTTTGGTGACAGGGAATTGTTTTACTGTATTTTACTGCAAATTTGATAACTCATGAAAGTCATGATAACCACTACAATGATGGGACTCACCCTAACTTTGATGAAGGAACAGAATGCTGAAGTTTTAAAACTTACTATCAATCAATTAATTGTATCTCTCATCTACCGTTTTATTTAATGTCATACATAGTAGATTCGGATTGAATTTATCCTTTGGAGGTAATAATCTTTTGCTTAAACAAGACTTTTCATGATCGGTTCATGAGGAAATGTGATATTCGTTCATTGAAGATTTTCATCTCTGTAAACAAACTGGTTTAGCAAAAGCACCTGCACGATTTTTTGCATGATGTATTGTGAGTGGTTTTTCAACATTTTTGTTATTTTTACAGCATGCAAGCAAGATGAGTTTCTCTGTAAAAATCGTGTTTGTATTCCCTTACGTCTAAGGTGTGATGGAATGGTTCACTGTCAAGATCAGAGTGATGAGGAGTCATGTCCACCTGCACGTAGGCACTATTCTTAATTTTATTTGTGTTTTCTAAATGTTGCTGAAATTTCTTCTTTCTTTATATTGCAAGAGAAACGGTCTTCTTTGCCCACATTCCTTGTCATACCCTTAATTATTACAACTCAGACTCTCAGTTTCGTAGAAACTATCAGTGCGTCATAGACAATTATATCTCTCTTTACTGAATCATTTTGCAACATTAAAAAGTTTTCTTGATAAATTTATTCTCCAATAAGTTTTCCGAAGGTCATGATTGCCACCACTTTGCATGATTATTGCCTTATAACGATACTGCCTACTGCCTATTATTTCTTATAACACGTTCTGATAAAATGCTGATTCAATCATTGTAGTCAGCATCAGACCTAAAGCATATGTTTGCTGCATATTGCATAGGGAAAGGGTATGGTGGTGGTGGTGGTGGTGGTGCATCGGAGCATTTACTCCAGTCATATGATAAATATTATCTACATTTCATAGAATGCTGGATGCTTGCACGTCTGTTTGCTTTTGTTCTAATTTTTGCTTGGGGCTTCCTGTAGTTTTTTTAGTAGTGATTGGAACTTAGTTGTTCTGGACTTTTCCCTTTTTGCTATGGAACAAATGTAATGTATCATTCCACTCTTAAGAGAATTTAATGTCAATGTTTCAGTTGGATGCCTGAAAGATGAGTTCCAGTGCCGTGATCATAGTTGCATTTTGTCCATTCATCGCTGTGATCGTAAAAGTGATTGTGCTGATGGGTCAGATGAGGAAGACTGTGGTAAGTATATGTTCTACTTTGCTGCTCAACCACATACTTCAACCCTTAACCAAAATCTGTTCCATACACAGAGGTTTGTGGATCAGATCAGTTCAGATGTTTCGATGGAAGGTGCTTAAGTTTTTCTCAGCGATGTAATGGTATCCCTGAATGTGCTGAAGGAGAGGATGAGAGGAACTGTCGTAAGTATCAGTTACTTGTCAATACTCAACCATGCTTTTTTTTCCCTTTTGTTCTTTTTTTGGTTTTTCTTTTTAAAACACCAGCACTATCTTGCTTATTTCAGCCACGCTTCCTGGCAGTCAGTGTGCATATAATGAGTTTTTGTGTAAAACTGGACAGTGTGTGGAATTAGCGAGACGCTGTGATGGCTATCCAGATTGTTCCGATCAGTCTGATGAGGACGATTGTGACGGTAAGTTTTCTTTCCCTTAACCTGTCTTTTTTTTTTAAATGGTAAAGGTGACTTTTTTTTTTGTGGGAAAGAGCAGTCCAGTCTATTACACAAATCTTACTCTCTAATTTTTGTTTGCATAAAGTGCTTATTGTGATGCCAGCAATTGCCCTTTCAATTAATCTCTCAAATTAGAAAGGGAAAAAAATTGCTTTCAGTTTTGTTTTGAAGTTTTAATTTTATGTGTTTGTTATCATTTTTTTAAAATAGTTTTATTATGACTGCTTTATGTGTTGCATCATTATTATGTGTGTGTTGTCCTGTCTTGTAGAAATTGTGGCACCCTGTCCGTCTTCAGACTTTTCTTGCATTGATGGCTCTTGCATTCCGCTCTCCAAGAAATGCGATGGTTTGCCAGACTGTGCTACTGCGGAAGACGAAAGAAATTGTACAAGTGGCTACGGTATGTGGCAGGCTCTCAAGTTCTAAATAACCTACCATTTTCTCTTGATGGGTATTGACATCCACTAATTTGCTGTATGCAGCCTGTTCTTTGTATCTTCTCATGATAAATTTTTTAAAGATCTTTTGTGGATAGCAGACCAATTATTAAGGCATTTTTCTAATAGTTGGAACATTGCTTGTTTGTGTCTTCTATCCACCAAAGAAAAAGAAAGGTTCCATACCCTGTTTTTGTCTTAATTATTATCATTCAAAAATATACATCATATTGATTTGTTTAAAAATCGAGGAGATAAGAGCTACATTTTTTAATCCTCTGTAGATAAGCTGCTGTTCTGCACTTATTTTTGTTTTGTTATTGATTTGATTGTACTGATTTTATTTATGTTTGTGTTTGTGTTGCACGCTGTAGGACCCAGCACTGGTATAACAGAGTCACCAAAATGTCAGCCATATGAATTCCGTTGTGACGATGGCCGATGCATACAAGAGGTGTACCGCTGTGACTCTATCAAGGATTGCCTTGATGGCAGTGATGAAAAGTCTTGTGGTATATATGAATTACTTTTCCCTTTGATAAGTCTTGTTTCATTGCACCTAACTTTGAGTGTTCTTCCAACATTCCTCTTTCTTTTAAATTATTCTTTCAACTAACACCAGTGCTTTTTACCTCATGTAAAGAAGGATTGTCTTCTATCTTTTTCAAATTTTTGGCACCGTCAACCATGAACTCATTTTTAAAGTTTCCCTCATTCTCCTTTCATTTTAGCAATCTTGAAAGATTTTTTAATACTGTGCCGTGACTCTTGCTTTAAATAGGCACCTAGTTTGATACAAACACTGCACATCGTATCCTCTTTGTCACTAACTTTTGTTCACATTTGCATGTTGGTGCTGCTTTCTGATTTTGGTGACTGTTGGGGGCATTTCATCCAGTTATTACATGTTCTCCCAATGAATTTACTTGTGCCAATGGACAGTGTCTTGATTACCAAAGACACTGTGATGGTGCTTTTGATTGTGCTGACGGCTCTGATGAGGATGGCTGTGGTAAGCAATGATGTCAGATTATTCAATTGGATTAAGAAGCTGTCATCATGTTCCTACCTTACCATTTCTCCCTGTATAAATGCCTCAGATCGATCACATCTTGCAAAAACCAAGCTTACCATTGGCATCCAGATTAGAGAAGCCCCTGGTCGGTCTTGGTCAAGTTCCATTCAAAGATTGTGACTTGTGTACTCACTTTCAGTTTTACTTTCAAGTCCTCAAAGATACATATAAATCTTTGTGCTATGCTTTTTCATTTCTTTTTCCTGAGTTAGGCTTCATTTCTGCATGTTTATGTTTTGTCTCTCTTCTCAGTTTAATAATGATATCGGTGAGCATATTATAGAAAATTGCAATATGAGATGATATAGGCATTATTTTTTAGTCTCACTCCCTATTCCCCCCATCAGAATAAGTTCGGTCTTTCATTTTTTTATACATTTTACAGGTTCTTTTTCTTTATTTTTCTCCCCTAAATAATAATTGTTTTGTGTAATTTAGATTTTTGATCTTTTGTATTTTTTATTTTGCCCATGGTTGACGTGCACTGCACAGCCTTGTGTGGTTTTGATGAGCACCAATGTGGAGATGGTACTTGTGTGGACTTCTCCTTGGTTTGCAACGGAAAGGAGGAATGTACTGACGGTTCAGATGAATTAGATTGTGGTGGGTCTCTTTTTTTCCTCAGCAAAGATAGGTCCCAAAAAATAGTCTAGTTTTGATTGTCTTTTGTGTATTCTTCTCTTACTGTACCTTTAAAGCATGCCTGAACTCTATAACTAACCCTCTATCAAATGCAAAATTTGGATCAATTATTTTTTAAATTTCTATGACATAACTTCTCAGACAAATTCCTCTCACATTTCAGGTCAAACTTGTGGTGTAAATGAGTTTACTTGTGGTGACCGTTCGTGCATTGACATCAGAAGGAAATGCGACAGAGTCCCAGACTGCAGGGATAATTCTGATGAGATTGGCTGTGGTAAGTTAAAGCTTTAATGTTTGCCCACAAAATTCTCGAACATTTGCAGTCCATCATTGCCTTAAGAGCAACCTTTACTTTTACATCTAACACAATTCCTGTCTTACTTGAGGCCTGAATCCTGTTCTGGTATTTAGAATGTGGGATAGTATTGGTGATAACATTTAGTCATGGTTTTACCATCCGTCAGCATATGTCTCTCTTTTCTGTTTTCGTCTGTGCCTCGTTGGAATCAATTCAGGTTTGGACGCCGACTCAACCTGCTCGGATGAAGAATGGTCTTGTGGTGCCGGTGTTTGCATTAGTCTTAAACATCGCTGCGACAATTTCTACGACTGTCGGGACTTTTCTGATGAGCAAAACTGCTTTGGTTAGAGGTGTTTCAGTAGCAGATGGCTATCAAATTATTAATTATTTACAAATATTTGGCAGCTATGGAATGTGTGACTTTTGATCCATTTTCTTCCTTTTTATTATGGTATCTAGTCTAACTACTGTTACTGTACCATATATACTTCATTATAGCCATATTTTAGCTGGTGTGTTCTGGATGTGTAGCCCAGTGCCTGTCCTTAAATCAAGTGTTTTTAATGTTACTTTTAGGACGTCATCAACATGCAGAATCTGGCTTTGTCCAAAGAGATTTTTTTTTCTGTTTTTCCCCCCCAATAGTGATGCTATAATTTCAAATGAGACACACAATGCAAATTTGAAACTGTAATGCAGACTGAGACCTCATCACGATGAGTATCATATTTCCCAAGAGGTTCTCTGTAAATGACAGCATTGTCATTCAGGAATAATCGACATCTTCAGTAATTTTCAATTTTTGTTTTTGACATTGTGTGTCTACTATTACTGCAAATTTGCCTTGCATGTAGTTACCTAGTGAAGTTTGCTGTGGAAAGTTTGACTCTGTAAATATTTTATTATTAAGAAACATTATTTGTTCGATGAATGGTACAGCTGTGCAAACAAAGCTTATTACAGTTTCGTTTCTGAAATCTCTTAAATCAAAATTAAATTAATGACAGTTTCCATTCAATTTTTTTTTTGTGTAGGAAAAGTATAATTGAAGGACTTTTTAAGAAATGTAACTTTTGCCATTTTTCTGACAGTGATATTTTGCTATAAGACAAGTCAAGATCAAGTCTTTTAGTATTTTCTTTTTGCAGATATCTTAGGCTACAAAGCTCAAAAAATTTAGTAGATTTAGTAATCTAAATTAAAAAGACTTCGAAAACTCATTTTCAAGTTTTAAAACTTTTGTGAAATAATTTTTGAACGAAGCAAATTTATTCAGCATGTTTAAAGTCTTATTGGCTACAAATGTACATAGGCATTTTGACATTTGAAGACCTCTTAATGTTTATCTACATGGATGCATGTATAGTTTCCATAAACAATGTAATTTTAGTTATTCGGAGTGTGAAAGACCCAAACATCTCATACGGTACCCAATTAGTCTGCATCAATGTCTTTCCGACTTGCATGCCTAAATAGGCTCTTTTTATCAGTCTCTCTACACAAACCAACTAAGGCATTGGATAGTGGGAGTCATATTTGTCCTTTCGGATGCTTTCTTGCAAGTTTCTCGAGATATCAGAGCGCTCATATTCAAAGTATTAGTGCTGATCGTTCCTTTATTTTGCCTTTGCATCTCATTGGATTAAGAGAAAAGAGTTATGAAACTCTTCATGTGTCATAGTTTTCCTTTGAATGCCTTGCCCTACCCTTACTCGCCAATAATTGGGTGTATGTACTCTCCTATTGTCAGCTTCCACATTCCATTAACTTTTTATTTAAAAGAAAACTCTGCCTGTTTTTCTTAATTTTTTTTTTCTACATGTAGAAGATATGCAAAGTTGTTTCCTTTTTAATTACTTACTCTTGTCAATTCTGGCTTTCAGATTGCAGACCTGGAGAATTCCGGTGTGGCTCAGGAGACTGCATTCCTGATGTGTATCGATGTGATGGACGACCTCATTGTCAGGATAGAAGCGATGAGGAGGGATGTGGTAAGATGAACATGATATAGAAAATTTTCATGTTACACTAGATTTTTCCACACTTAATTTTTCATCTAGATTTAATTTTGCAATTAGTGTTGTTAAGTAGTTGAAGGTTGCTTATTTTTTGTATCCCTTTTGTTTCAAGTTGTTCAGCCTCTGTCTACTGCTGCACCTCCACGTAGCTGTCCCTATGGCCAGTTTGCTTGCCACTCCAACGGCCAATGTGTTCCTCAGTCAGTTGTGTGTGATGGTCAATCAGACTGTAGCGACTCGTCAGATGAGGCCAACTGTGGTAAGACTGCATTTCTTTTTATAGACTTCATAATTAGGTCTAGAGGATTTCGCCTCTTTCTCAAACTATAAATTTAAAATATTACTTACTAATTGACCGTTCATCTTGATGTCAAGCTGGGAGGGCTTGTTTTATTGGCCAATTCCGTTGTGAGAATGGCCCCTGCATCCCTGAACATCTAAGATGCAATGGAAATTTTGACTGTCCCTTCGACAAAAGTGATGAATTTGACTGCCGTAAGTCCCCCATTATGGGAGAGCATGGTTTCTGTTGTGTGCAATCCTAATAATAATAATAATAATTGCATATTACATGTAAACTGTCGATTAGAAAACCTGTGCTAAACCCTAATAGCCATCCACCTTCAGTGACATTGTAGAATTGAAGTATTCACTGATTCAATCTCACTGCCCCAGGAGCGTACTGAATCCTGGGGAAATAGACCAGGGAGGGGATTTGTCTGCCTTGCGGGTGTTTTTGAAGCACAATTACTGAAGTAATCTTGAGTCTATAGTGTGCTCTGGAGTAACTAACTGAACAAAACTTAAGGTCCAAAATGAGGCAGGGAATATCCCCACAGACCCCTTTCCTGGACCAGTCAGTAGGCCCCTGCCTGCCAGTCTTTAATATTTATCATGTTTGTGTGAGTGTGTGTCGGGTGTGCTTTCTTTCTACTTACATTGTGTGTATTATTTTTGTATCCTTTGTATTTTGTATGTTTTATTGCTAAACATTGTGTTCTTTTTAATTTTGATCTTTCTTTCTTTTTATTGTGGGCGATGTCTCATCAAAAGTCAATAACTGTTATTCTTAATAACTAACCATAAGCTTACTCATTACTTCAGAAATGGGTCTAACTTGTTTTTAATTTTCAGCTGGACGGCCATCCACCTTTTCAGGACTAAATCTGAAAACGTATCCAGAGGATCAAATCATCAAGGAAAGTAAGTATTTTCTGTACTTATTATGGAATGTGCGTGTGTGGGGGAAGGAGAGAGGAAAAATAGAGAGGGTGGGAGGGGAATTGGACCTCAAGGAGGACTAAGTCCTTCTTGGTTCTTGAGGAAACATTTATCTTCCTCCTCATAGAATAAATTGCAGACTTGACTTTCTTTCTGTTGTCCTCTACACTCTGTGTCCAATGTTAGCTGTGTGATCTCTTTTTAACAAATCCTGCCATATCTCTTCTTTTCTAACAAACAATTACGTTGTTCTTTCTCATACTCAATCTTTTTCTATGGATGGACCACATTCAGTAAAAGTTGGTAAGTTTGTATGTATGAAACTTGATACTTTTGTATGAAAATGCTCACACATTGTGGAAACATGGAATGCATTTGATCAGAATGCATCAACTGCCACATTTTGCTTTCTAGACATTGACGGCTGATTGCATGATTTTTAGAAACTGTTGCCAATCATTACCTGTTAATTTCACTATGAAAGGCCACCACATAAAGTAACATTTCCTTAATATAAGTACACTGGTTGGAGTTAAGATTTTGATATTAACAGTGGTAGCTTTATTTGTGGTGTGTTAGTTATCATTGACTAAGACTTGGGAACAGATTAATGTCATGCTTACTTTATGATTATTCTGGCATGCCATTCACCTATGAAGAGAGAGACAGTGTAGGGTTTCAGAATAGTTGCTCTGCACTTTTTCACAATCATTGACTGAAATTAATACATTCCTTTCTGTATGCAGGACGTGAAGTAGTATTCCAATGTCGTGACGAAGGCCCACATAGAGCACGTGTTAAGTGGTCTCGGGCTAACAATCTTCCCTTACCACAAGGATCACGAGACCTTAATGGACGTTTGGAAATGCCAAATATTCAGGTTAGCTATTTTTACAAGATGTTTTTGAGTTGCTCCCACATTTTTTTCAGAATTCAAAGTTTTGTTTCCTTCCAGCTGGAACATTCCGGAAATTACATCTGTGAAGCTGTTGGGTATCCTGATAACATTCCTGGTTCTCGGCTCACAGTGACTCTGAGAGTAGAACAATGTAAGTTTACAAGTATTTTATACAATTTTATATCATGTACATATTAATTGCTTTTTCCTTGTCAATTCCACTTTTTCTATGTCTTCTTTCTGTCTTGTCAACACATCACCCTCCTTAAAATTCTCTTGAGCTTTCTCCTCATAGTTGTAGCACATATCTAACTGTCTTAAGTTAGGCAGCTGCAATTTCTAAAAAGAAATGACTTAATTAATTTCCTTTTTCCCTTGAAACTGAAAGCTTATGTGTAGCACGTATTCGATGGCCCCTCTTTACTAGTCACCCAGGAACCCTCAGGTCCCATTCCTTCATTACAAATTTTCAGAGAATTTTTGATAAGTTTGATGTGTTTAAATTTTTGCTCTAGGAGTAGTTTGGCCTTTGATGTGTAGTTTGTGATTTTGGTTCTTTCAACTGATTTGTAACCACATTGTCTTAAATCTGGTAAAATGATTTAATTATCAAATTAACATATTAATAGATAGGGCAAGGGCTGAGGTGGGAAGTGGGGAGTCAACTTCTCCATTCACCTCAGACCCCATCTGCTGCTAATTGTTAATACTCAATTTTCCTCAATTTCGTTACCTTTTCATTGGAAAATGTGGGAACAAATACTGTCTTCTTGCATAGTATCACCATTTTAGAATGTTACAGTACGTCTTTACAGTGAAACATCACAAGTTCAAGTTAAGAATCAGGCTCAGCGCGGCTGAAACTCGAATGAGCAGGGTGAGGGGCATGCTGGAGTACTGTCATATGGTCCATATGACAACTCCCTACCCTTTGCTTAAGCCACGCTCGGCTTGATGCTTACCAAACTACTAACAAATTCATTTTTAGATTTTAAAAAATACCCTTGTTTCATGAATTTACTTCAATTAGATTGTAAAGGATACTACTAAACTTGTAATTTTTTTAAAAATTTCAAGATTAGAAATGCCCCTATGCAGTTTCTTGAGATAAAAGTGAAAATGGTACAACTAGTAGCATCTGACCCACCTTGATTATTTTTGTGATGTCCATTGTAGTTACATTTTTATACATCATTTTCGACACCTATACTGCATGCTCTTTTTGTGGCCTTTTCAAGCTGCTGGAAGAAACAAAGGACCTTATCACAAGCACTTATATAACTCACCTTTCTTAAAGTTTGGCATCCTGCCGCCCTCTTTCGCAGATTTGTATGGCTCAGGTAGGCTAAACCTCCTTTCTCTTCCTGACTGGACAAAATCTAAATTCAATGTCAACTTCCATTTAGTTGATTCAAAAATAGCTTTCATCATACTACTTCAATGAAGAAAAAGAATATAAAATTTCAAACTTTATTAAACCGAGATCATTTATTACATCACTATTTCAAATTATTTGCATGCTTCTCCCTGTATTTACCTTTCCAACCTCTTTTTGTCTTTTTCTTCAATTTGTGTGCCTAGCATATTCGTACCTTAGCTGTAAGATCTTTACTGAACACTATCTGTAACACAATAGTTTCTCTTTTGTAATTTGTGTAATATTCTGTCTTTTGCTTCCTCTTATTCATTTTGGTAAGTACCCTTATCTTGGAAGTTCTTCTCGTTTTCCAAATAATTTGGTCAAGTAAATCAATCACAAAACATAAAATAATGCAACAAATTATCTGCTATGAGAATAAGTCTTAAACTTTCCAAGGTCTATCTATTTTACAAGTGTTTTCACATATTCTTGATAAGGCATTTTCTTCTCCAACTTGGATTCTTTTGAAGGTTTATATCATGCCTGGAAGGGGGCCTCTACCCACCCTAGTGTGATATGTGTCCACCACGTCACTCCTGTAACTAACAAGTACTCAATTGTTTGCAGACATAATTCCAACCACACGCCCTCCTCAAGTTTGTGGTATCAATGAAGCTACCTGCTCTAGCGGTGACTGTATTGCTAAAAGTCTCATCTGTGACGGTAACTTAGATTGCTCTGATGGATCTGATGAAATGCGGTGCAGTAAGTACTGTTAGACCTTCCATAATAATTAATATTTTGCTGACCCACCTGCTTATAACACCATTTTCTTTGTGCCTAGATTCTGATGGTTGTGAACCAAATGAATATGAGTGCGACAACAAAAAATGTGTCATGAAGACATGGCGTTGCGATTCTGATGATGACTGCGGGGATGGATCTGATGAAAGAAATTGTGCCACTAATCCCCCAGGTAAATGAGCCAGTCATTCAATTTGTCCTGATTTTTCTGCAAGCATTCTTTGAAGTTCTGCTCACGATTGCTTTTCAGGCTCCAAGTGTCACTATCATGAATTTGAGTGTCGTTCTGCCAACCAATGCATTCCAAAGTCTTTCCACTGTGATGGAGAAGTGGATTGTCAAGATGGAAGTGATGAATCAGGATGCTGTAAGTATTGTTTGAATATTTCCTCAAACATTTTATTTTATATTTAAAAAATTGACTGATATGTTATTATTTATTGTAGTCCCCGTTCAAATTGCTGAGGGACCAAAGAGAATGGAAGTTCTTCAAGTGGGAGAGTCAATGACTCTGACTTGTAGAGCCGTTGGTGTGCCTACACCTGTTGTTGTCTGGCGTCTCAATTGGGGCCATGTACCTGCCAAATGCACCAGTACTAGTGAAAATGGAGTGGGCACTTTAACTTGCCCCAATGTTCAAGTGAGTCTTTTTCTTTGGTTTGAAACCAACTGCCTTACTCCTCTTTTATTTTTTTTTACTAGGTATATACATTTTTTAAAAAAATATTCTCTTTTTAGGAATCTGATCAAGGAGCATACAGTTGCGAAGCATTGAACATGCGTGGGAGAGAATTTGCAGTTCCTGATACAATTTTGGTGGTAACATCTCCAAACAAAACCATTTGTGCCCCTGGTAGTTTCAACAGTGACGCAAGGCACCCTGGAGAGTGCATATCTTGCTTTTGCTTCGGAGTTGCCACTAGATGTAAAAGTGCAGACCTTTTCACCTATCAGGTTTGTCGCTCATTCTAATTTCTCTGGTGCATAGGTTCCAATTTACTCCAAAACTTAATCATTTTGTGTTTTGCAGCTCCCTCCACCCATAGAGAGTACTGAACTATCAACAATTCGTGTAGATCCCTATTCAAAAACTGTTGAAATCTTGACTGGCCCAACTTACAACCTCCCATCTGTAAGGCCTCTTGGAAGAAATGGTTTCCAGGTAGGAATATTTTTTTTTAAATGTAAGGAAACAGGAAAAGAGTTTTGTTTTAAAATGACATTTGTGTATTCTTTTATCCTTCAGATTTACTCGTCAACTATAGAACGTGATGGATTCCGCCTAGGAGACAATGACTACCCGTATTTTGCCATGCCAGACAATTGCCATGGCAGTCAGTTGAAGACTTATGGAGGATATTTGAAGTACACTGTTAAATATGAAGGAAACGGCCGTCCTCTTGATATTCCAGATGTTGTACTCAGTGTCAGTATTTCAAACCTCAATTTTTAAATACCCTCTAGAAGTGGATTTCCCTCCTGGGAATTTTTCTATCAACAATTTTTAATGTCTTTCTTATCTTCCCCTTTCAGGGTAATGGATATATCTTGGTTCACAATGCTCCTGCATTGTCCCCTGGACAAGAGGTAGATCGTTCAGTTCGCTTCTTCCATGGTGAATGGTTTAGGCGTATATCCTCATCCCGCAATACCGCAAGTGACCGCGATGTACTTGCTTCTCGAGAAGAGATTATGATGGCTTTGGCTGATGTGAATGACTTGCTCATCAAGTAAGTGGTATGAATTTTGTTTGCTAACATTTTGTCGAATACTCTCTTACCAATAATCCATATTTTTTCTCAAAGGACCCGATACATTGATGGTCCATTGCTTGATACCTCTTTGACAAACATTCAAATGGACTCAGCTGGTATCCGTAATGTAGGACAGGGCAAGGCCTCTTATGTGGAGGAGTGCCAATGCCCAGCTGGTTACTCCGGTCTTTCCTGTGAGGTATGCTACCTTTAAAAGTTTAACTCTCCAAACTACTAACTAATATTGTAATGCTAGATCGTAATGTGATTTGATGCTGCAGATGTGCACTGCTGGCCATCACCGTCGTGAACATGGTCCATGGTTGGGCATGTGCATGCCAGAAGAAAGACCATGCCCTGCAGGTTTCTACAAAAACTCAACCGGAAATGGTCAATGTGAGCGTTGTCCATGCCCACACACCAATCCATCCAACCAGTAAGCTCTTGATTCGTGCAGAGTTAACTCACGTCTTTTTGTTTTCATCCATTTTTAACTTTCAACTTTTCTCTCAGATTTGCCCGAACATGCCACTTGGACACTGATGGCCAAGTAACGTGTGATTGTCCTCAAGGATACGAGGGCCGGCGTTGTGAAAAGTGCGCAAGAGGGTACCAAGGAAATCCATTCATTCCTGGTGATATCTGTCGTCCAGGTATTATTAATTGATTTTGTCATATTCTTGTGGGTTTCTTGGGGCATAGTAGACTGCGAACGGAACTTTCAACATCCTTGAATGCGTTTTCACTAGTAGGATTTCATTATGAAAAACTAATCTTATTGAATCAAGATATTTATTATTATTATTATTTTTTGTAAGATTTAAGTTTATGTATTGACTGTTCATATTTTCTGTCCTATGCTTTTCAATCATTCAATGGTAAGTGAAAGGGGAAAACCAGAATTGCTTTGTAGGAAGTGTGAAGCTAGATCTTTGATGGCTAGCTAATTCTATTCCCAAAAGACACTTACACCAGAAGATCAAAGTTTCAATTTTCTTAATTTTCTTCATAGATTAGGAGATGAATGACAGTGTTTTTGTTCTTTGCTGAAAGTAGGCAGGAGTTCCATACCTTACAAAATAATAGGCAGTTTCCATCTTCACTATCCTATGTCTTGCTTGACAAAGGCTTTTGTAGATCTGAGGCCAAAGTTTCAAAGAGTTGTCAGCTAAACATGTTCCTCTTTTGTGTCCTATTTTCAGGTTACTGTAATGCTGCAGGATCTCTTAGCACATCACTTGAATCCAGTTCCGGTAGCTGCGTATGCAAGGTATGTCCCTCAATATTGTGTTAGATTTCATTGAATTGGAATTTTTAGCACTTCCAAGTTGTCTGCAAATTATTTCTGTAATTTTAAAGAATCTATTTTACCTTTTTCCCTTATGCTTGCTTTCTTTACTAACATTTCATGGTAAGTGAGACTTTTCCCACCAAATACTTTATGTATTCTTAGTTGACAGACAAACCCATGGATAATCTTGTTGAGCAGAGCAAATAATATGGGAATCGTGTATTATCAAGTCATATGGTCTGATTAATCTAATGCTTACTCTTTTCTTTATAGGCAAATGTAATTGGTCCCTATTGTGACCAATGTAAGCCAAGCACATTCCATTTGGACACAAACAACCAGTTTGGTTGTGTGGACTGCTTCTGCATGGGTGTAACTCGTCAATGCAGTAGTTCCAACTGGTATCGGCAACAGGTAAAGTGTGAAAAGAGAAAGCCATTTGCTCTCTACTTCAACAAATTTGTTTCTTATCCTCTCTTCCTTACTCAAATGTTCAAATTTTATTTTTACACTGTGAATTTTATTTTTATTTTCAGATTTATGCTCAGTTTACAAGGGACACTCAGGATTTCAAGATTGTGGAAGCCTCGAGAAGAGATGAACCAATAACAACTGGCATTCGTCTAAACCCTGGTTCTCGAGAGTTGGTGTATCAAGATTTCTCAAGACGCAGCTCTGATGTAATTGAAAGAAAAACAAAAATATCCTTCGAATCTTGAGCTGCACAATCAAAACTAGGTTTGATTTTTTTTGTTCTGTTTCTAAAATTTTTAAGGTACATTATTGGAAACTACCTGATCGTTTCCTTGGCAACAAAGTAACTTCATACGGTGGTGACCTCAAATACATTATTCGATATGTACCAACACCAGGAGGGCAGAGTTCTCGTAACAGTGCTCCAGATGTAGAGCTTGTTAGTGTAAGTATTTTGTCAGTCACAAATTCTTTGGTCAGTCTAAACTGCCATTTGTTGCACTTCATTTTCTAAAGTAAATAACCATCATGAAAAAAAAAAGTCTATAAGTGCATGTTTATTTCCTTTAAAATAATAAACCATGTTTTTCAGTCCAATGCCGCCATCAGACTTCTGTACTTTGGTCATGACCAGCTGGAAGCAAATCGTCCTCAGAACATTTCTGTTCCTCTACTTGAGCAACATTGGCAAAGACAAGATGGCCAGAAAGTAGACCGAGCTCACATGCTGATGGCCCTATCCAGTTTAGAGGAAATCCTCATTAAGGCAACATACACAACCAGTACATTAGAAGCTGCGTAAGTGGGCTTGAACTAGAATGAACTTCTTGGGCAAGGCTGTCAGAACCATGATCTTGAACTTTCTTGCAGACTGCTGTCTGTGTCTCTGGATATTGCTGAGGAACGTAACACCGGCCAAGAAAGGGCTCTTGCTGTTGAGCAGTGTGTTTGCCCCCTAGGACATCAAGGATTGTCCTGTGAGGAGTGCAGCACCGGATACACTCGCTCTGAAAGCAGTCCTGGACTCTACTTGGGTAGGTGTGTCCCATGCTCTTGCAATGGACACTCTTCAGAATGTGACCCAGAGACTGGTGTTTGCCGGGTAAGTCTTAAGAGAGATTAAAATTTAAAATATTTCTCTATTATATTGTATGAAAATGCATAGAATGTTCATGACTTTTCTAGGAGTGTCGAGGTTATACCACTGGAGATCAATGTGAGCAGTGCCTCCCTGGGTTTGAAGGGGATGCTTCTCAAGGTGATTGCCGACCACGTGGTGGTGGGTCTGAATGCAATTGTGACCCCAAAGGTAGCGCTAGCTTTGAGTGTAATCCAGATGGCAGCTGTATTTGCAAGGTATTTTTTTGATGTGGATTTTGAGACAGCTTTGTTATAACAAAGTTTGTTGAGGTTGTTCTCCTGCACATAAATTGTATGTATCTTCCCTTCTTCAGACCAACGTTGAAGGCCTCCATTGTGACTACTGCCGCCCTGGAACTTTTGATCTGTCAGTGAAAAATAGTGAAGGTTGCCTAAGCTGCTTCTGCATGGGAGTGACAGACCAGTGTCAGTCGTCATCTTATCACAGAACACAAATCCCAATGCAGATCCTTGATGCCAACCACGGTTTTAGGCTTACTGACAAGTAAGACGTTTTGTCTTTATTTTAATTGTTTGGAACTTCTTTTATGGTAACAAAATGCATTAAATTTATTATTATTACTCCAGCAACCGATCACCTGTAGTTGACTCTGACTTCAAGGTGGACTGGGCAAGAAATGAAATTGGCTATGAATTCATTTCACCACCCACTCAAACATATTTCTGGTCCCTCCCATCGTCTTTCACAGGGAACAAGGTATTTTCCATTTGAACTTCAGGATATTAGTTGATCTGCTGAGAAAGATTAATGTTTTCTCTCTTTTCTTATGTTTTATATATAGATTACTTCCTATGGTGGAAACTTAACTTTTACTCAAAAATATTTAGCGAGATATGGAGCGCAACACACTCATGACCAAGATGTTGTTCTCTTCGGAAATGGTATCTCCATTTATTGGTCCAATCTGGGTAGGACTGAGCCTAACGTCACTCAGGTACTTTCCCTTTATTATTTTAGTGGTGCGTTTGTTCTTTCCAATTTAATATCTTACCAGATTATATGAATTCTTTCCAAGGTGGTTTCAATTCCTCTTCAAGAATCAGCGGGCTGGAGAAGGCTCGACATAAGTGGTCCTCGAACTGCATCAAGACGTGACCTTCTCACAGTGCTAGCGTCATTGGAATCTATTCTCATCCGATCATCCCACTCTGACCATAGTTATGCAACTTACCTAAGTGATGTTGCAATGGATACTGCTGTCTCCATGCAGACTGGAGAAGGCTTAGCAAGCCAAGTAGAGTCATGCCGCTGTCCTCAAGGCTACTCAGGCCTATCCTGCGAGGTAATTAAATTAATGTGTGGTGCTGATTGTTTGTGAGGAACTGTACTGACTCACGCTATCATTTTAATTTCTTATGTATTTCAGTCTTGTTCAACTGGTTTTTACCGCAATACCAGTGAAGTGTCAGCCAGTGTATTGGGCTCCTGTCTTCCGTGCCCTTGCAACGGGAATGAGGAAAGTTGCTCTGTTTCCTCTGACTTACGTGTCACCTGTTACTGCAAACCTGGGTTTAGTGGACGCTACTGCGATAATGTTGGACAAGGTAATATGAGACTATACTTTTGCAATTTGTAAGCCGACTTAGTGGAAATACTTGTTTGTTCTGCATTTATTATTTTCAGCCATTTGTTATCCATTTGTTCTTGTTTTTATTTGTTGTCATTAATATTTGTCTTTCATGACATGAAAGATTAATTTTTTTCTTTTTCTATCCAAATTTAAAAATTCTCTAAACTTATTTGTTTCTTTCTCTACTGTGGTGGCAACTTCATGAGAGCAAGAACTCTGGAACTTTTCTACTAATCCTCTATATAATGTCAGATGCATGCGTTTATTTTCTAACTATTTTCTTTTTATATCTCGTGATGCCAGATCCAGATGGAGTCAGTGTTGAGCTCACCCCACTTACAGTTAGACAAAAAGTAGGAGAAACGGTCCGTTTCACCTGCACATATCATGGTAGTGAACCTATGGCTATTGATTTTGAAGAAATAAGAAGACCCCAGCGAATAGTGTTTTCTGAAATAGCTTATAGCTTTATGGGTCCAGCTGATCTTCATCTGGAGCACATAAACAAGCGATACAGGAACAGAGATGAGCAAAGCATTGATGTTGTCATCACCCCAGATTTGATAGCAGTCAAATGCCGTATCCAAAATGTGGCTGGAGTGGAGGTAGCAATGGTCATGTCACAAATCACAAAAGGTTTGAATTCTGTTGTATTCCTAGGTCGTGCTTCTGTGGTCTGAATTCGGAGTGTGTATCACCGTTTGTGAAATTTTGCCACCGTCTTTTGTCTGCTTGTACAGGTTTATCCGTGCGTGATTTCTGTCCTCTGAGCCAGTGTCCCAGTGTCCGTGCTGCAATATAGCAATCTTGCTTTTTCTTCTCTGGTTTATGGTCTTCCTAGGCTTTAGGCTCTAAAGAGTACATGCTTTTTTTCTTATGTTTTTCAATGCTGCTTTATAGATTGGTATGGGCCTTGTTATGAGGACCAGTTCCGTTGTGAAAATGGACCATGCATTCCAATGTACCAACATTGTGATGGGAAAAAGCAATGCCCTCACGATGATAGTGATGAGCTGGACTGCAGTAAGTGGTTGCTCTGAAAACTTTTGAAATCAAGTTGTCATAATACTCTAATGATGGTTTTCAAAATTAATGTTGTGATTGCATTGACTCCAAATCTTTTAATAGTGTCTTCACCCTTAAAATCCCATTGGCTGCTTCAAATGCTTCTAAAATTCAGTAACCTTTTTTTTTTCCTTTAATAAATTGCAAAAACTGTTGATGTCATTTTTGACCCTGCAGCTCACAAAGGTGTTTCTCTGCTCACAAATTTGCTTATGCATTGTTTTTGAACATTGTTTGTGTTGTCCAAAGTCAAGAACTGAGGTTTTTTTTTTTTGATTACTTAATGAGTGACTTATGTTTGCTTCTTGTTAAAATATTGTGTGATATGCATTTGTGTTTTTTGTTTGAAGTTGCCCATTGACTTCAGTCAAATTATCTGTCTAAAAATTCCTTGTTTGATTTTAGTTTCAGAACCGTACAATGTGGGCCCTCAACCTCAGCCATCAATCCAACCCCCTACAATTTTGGTAGCCATTGCTGAACCAACCATTAAAATAGTTGAAGTCGGCAGTTCAGTGCGGTTCACATGCACAGCTAGACCTCTTTCAAACAAAGTAAATATTTTGTCACTTACCTATTTTCAAGAATTGTTTTGCCTCTCTTTAGCTGTAAACGAATTGTACACATATGTTTTCTTTGCTCTTCCTGTTTATCCAGGGTCCTGTCAGAATCCACTGGTCCAAGGAAGGGGGAGTTCTCCCACGAGAACGAACCACTGATGATGGTGATGGAGTGTTAGTTATTATCAGTGCTGTTGTTTCTGATTCTGGTACATATATTTGCACTGCTACTGATGGAAGCTCATACGTCACAGAGAGAGCTACCCTCACTGTTGGTGGTAAGTTGAAGAAGCAAAATTTAGAAAACTCCTCCTCCTCCCTGTGATGATTATTGTACGAATATAAATGTCGATTGTTACTTTCATGCTGCTTTTGTAAGATTTTCCTAAGGATGTAATTCAGAAGCAAGGTAAATTTTCTATTGTGTATTGGGATTAGCCGGTGTTATTGGAATAGTGTAGCTGCTGTGATCAGCAGTGGTTCAGAAGTGAACTAGTATGCTATTTTATTTGTGTTATTAATTCCACTTTATCCATTTTTCCAAAGGTTCATCACCTTCTCCTCCTGAAGTTCACATTTCGCCACAATATCTAGACGTTCAAGAAGGAGAGCCTGTGGCATTCAATTGCCATGCCACTGGAAATCCTCTTCCTTCTCTTCAATGGACCGGTGGTCCAAACAATCCACAAGTAGGTATTCTTTCCTTCTTCATTATTTACCCCATGTTACAGGCTTGCATGTAAATTTTATTTAATGTCCCATTTAGTTTCTTAGTTTCATCAACTTAAAAGTTTTATACACGTTGTATTGATATCATTAGGCTTCCTTCCGAGACGGAGTTTTCCGGATACCAGCTGCTCAACGCTCTGATGAAGCTGAATACAACTGCACTGCTTCAAATCCGCATGGCACCAATGTTGCAAGGACTATTCTCTATGTTCGTGGTATGTTATTCAATGGATTAAGTATTGTTCTGAGAATTTTCCCTGTTTTTATGTTTCAAGGACACTTATCTAGATTATATTTTACCTAACTTTGTCATGCAGAAGGCTCGTCCCGACCTCTTCCTATCGACTCACAGTCAAGATTATCGATATCTCCGCCAGATTTCAATGGTATTGAAGGAGAGAACGTCCGCCTGACATGTGTTCCTGGTTACAATGAATATTATGTGTTAGTATTATTTGTAACCGATTAATTTGAAACTATAACAGACAGTGTTAAGAGAAGTCACATAATTATTTTTATCACTTCCAGCATTCAGTGGTCTAAAGTGGGTAGTCCTGACCTCCCATCAACAGCTTCACAGCAAGATGGAGTGTTGAACATCTTCAATGCTAATCCTGTGGACTCTGGCATTTACCTTTGTAGAGTGACCTCTCGAGCTACTGGAGTTGTAGAAGATATCCAAGCCAGAGTATCTATTTCATCTAACAGGTACAGTTGTGCTAATACTCTCTGTCAAATTGTAATATTTAATAATATTTCTAAAATTTTGCTGTGTTCTCAATTTACAGAGGCCCTCCCACCGCTCGGATTGAGCCTGAACGCCAGACGGTTTCTCAGGGTACCACAGCTGAGCTGCGGTGCTTGACATCAGTTGATTCATCATCAGTTCAATGGAGTAAAGTTGGTGAATCTGACATGGGTATCAATGTTCAGGTAGTTTTCCAAGCTTTCAAATTTAATAAACCTCAATTACTTTTTTTTTATGTGATTGCATTTGCATGTTTTTGAAATTTTGTTTGATCCCCTTCATGTATACTAGGCTCTTGGAAATGTCTTGAGGATAAATAATGCCTTGGTGAGGAACCGTGGTGTTTATGTGTGCTCTGTTGAAAATGAAGGAGGAAGTTCACAAGCATCTACTATTCTTGAAGTCGAACGTAAGTGTGTTGGCTGTGAGATGTTAGCTTTATTCATGGTGTCATTAATTTAATTTGACATCTCTACATATTGCATGGTATGCTTTGTGATCCAGCCCGTGAACCACCTGCCATTGAAATATACCCAAACCAACACCAGACAGTTGTTGTGGGTGGAAGCGCTCTTCTGCAATGCCGCGTCACCAGTGGTATCCCCTCACCAGCCGTCATGTGGCGCCGATCGGATGGTCGTCCTCTGTCTCCCAACATTGAAGAGCTACCAAATGGAGTGCTGAGGTATGTTTTAAATAGTATAACCTGATATCTAAGTTTTTTTCATATCAAACACCACCTATTAACATCCTATCATTTTTGCAGATTTAATAGAGTAACAACTGCTGATGCAGGAGTTTACACTTGTGAAGCTCAAAACATTGTTGGAACTACCAATGCCACAGCATCTCTCGAAATTGATTCTATTCCTACTATAACTATCACACCATCTTCTCCTATAACTGTGAATGTTGGTCAACCAGTACGACTAGAATGTAGAGCTCATGGTGAACCACGGCCAACTGTGATTTGGTCTCGCAACAGACCTGGTTATGCTTACTAGTATGTTTCAATAAGAAATTAATACAGCGTACTTTAGGTGTTAATTATTCAATTTCAATTTCTAACTATCTTGCAATATTTGCAGTGAACCTACAAATTTGACTGCCGAATCATCTCAAAATGCTGTTTATGAGATAACTCGAGCAACCAAAGCTGATGAAGGTTCATATAGCTGCTCTGCTCGCAACAAGGCTGGATTAACAGAAGATCACGTACGGTTGATTGTAGAAGAGAGTAATGATGTTCTTGATCGCTATCCTGAAAGAGGTGACATAACTGGGGAGGATCCGGGTAGCTATGGTGAAGGAGCACCATTTATTGTCAACGTTGGAGGAACAGCTGAACTTCGTTGTGATTTACGTAGTAACAGCAGCAACATTTTCATCAAGTGGAGGCGATCGGGTGGAGAACTTCCTCAGGGGCACTCTGTGTTCCAGGGGTCATTGCGCCTCACCAATGTTCAGGAGGAGGATGCTGGTCTCTACGTATGTGAGGGTTACGATAACAGTCAACTTCTTTTCCGGGCTCCTGCTAGATTAGTAGTAAATGGTGAGTATTTTCTTAAAATGAATTACTTTTAGATGCTTGTGATAGTGTTGGCATTGCGCTTTTGTTTGGATTAAAAACTCATTCTGTGTTCATTTGTGTTTCTTGATAGGACCACCAAGGATTCAGCTTCATCCTCAACATCAAGTTGTGCGCCCTGGTGAAAGTGCAAAGGTGCATTGCCGTGTTCTTGGATCTGAACCGCACAATATTATGTGGACTGTCCCTGGGAAAGAAAATTATGGCAACACAGCTCTCCCTAGCAATGCCATTGATCAGAATGGAATACTTGAGGTGATAACGACTTATGTGATAAGATTGGCTTTATCAATTGTGTGCAAAACCTTTGTAACATTTGAAATCTGCATTTTTCAGTTTACTCGTATAGGACCTCAGGATTCGGGGCATTACTTATGCCGTGCTAGAAATGCTTATGGAGAAGCCGATGCTGTTGCTGAAGTTCTTGTACAAGGTTTGCTGCTTTTTTACAAACTTCAAAGTAAAACAGGGTCATTTGCTCAGATTTTAAATTTTTAAAATTTTGTCATTAGATCAACAACCTACGTCGCTTGTAAGAGCTGCAGATCACGATCAAATTGTACGTGAAGGAGCCACTGCTCGCCTTGTCTGTGCAGCTGCTCCAGGGACTCAGGTATTATTGGTTGTTATGAATTAATTCATTGTATTAACGCCCTTTTTTAACTGTTTATTTGTACTGTCAACTTTATAGATCACATGGACTCACGAGGGAAGAGCTCTGCCTGACAATGCTGTGCAGCAGGAAGGTACTCTGACAATCCATCACGTGAGACCATCTGATGCTGGCCGTTATGTGTGTCAAGCAAGCACTGATGCAGATGTGGGATCTGATTACATCAATTTGCGTGTTGAAGGTAAACGGATGAAAGGCTTTTCAATTCCAGCGTTGATTTTGTGATAGTATTCTAAGCATGATGGACGTTTTTTTTGTCTGTTTGTTCGTTTTTCTTTTTTATTTGCACTAGCATGATGTGATTTGATGTTACTTTTCTCTTATTACTATTGATGAATGTTAATTTACAAAAGAGTCCTCTTGCTCCCTACTCCTTTGTAACTGTTCTTTTTCTGCAAGTTTTTATTACTTATGGTCTGATAAAAGTTTTTATTTTGCTGTTGGAGGTCCTTTCTGAATAACAATCAAATTCACTTCCTTTTTCTACTTTTATCTAATTAAGTGTCATTTGTTGATTAACTTATTATTATAGGACTCATTACCATTTTATATGGCTGTCTCCTTTTCTAACGGTCATTTCATGGTTGTCAGAACTAACTTTTTATTTTTATTTGTTTTGAAGTTTGCTCGTCTCATGTAGCTTTTATAATGACACTTTTGCAAGCCATATTTGTAATTCTTCATTCAATCATCAATTAATTTGTCATTTTTTTTTTTTTGCATGTGTTTGACACTTTGCTTGTTCTTCTTTTTTTTTGTGTGTGTTACTCACCCTCCTCCTTGCACTGCCAGCACTGCAGGAGTATTGCCCACCCCAAACGATGCAGTGCTACATAAGGGGAGTCCAGCAATGTCTTCCTCAGGAACGCCTTTGTAACGGCGTCAGTGACTGTGACGACGGAAGTGATGAACACGGTTGTCCAACAAACCGATCGCCTCGTGGTGGGTTGACTTAAACTTAGTGTTAATGTCTGTTCCATTGTGTTTGTTCCCCTCGTACCACTTGAAAATCCAGTTTGGAAAACAACAGGGAACAGAACCTATTAAACTTACGTTGGTTTTATTTTGTTGTTTTTTTTTTGCCAGAATTTTGGCTTTATATGTAGAGCATGGCTAGCGCATCAATTAGTTTGTTATGCAAAAAGTTTAGAAGTGACCTTGTTTAGCTTTAATTTTTATATTGATGAGCTTATTTTGATTTACAAGATTTGCCGTGAAAGAATAGGAAGTATGCTTGCCAATCGATAAAAATTTATAAGTAGAGATGGATAGAGAAAAATCTATTCAGCATTGACCTTTATTTAAGTAGCACTGCTGGTCTCGTTCTCCACAACCTTTCTTCATCGGTGTTTTGGTCCTGGTGGTTGTCTTATTTATCTTGGTGAATGGAATAATCAAATTTAACATTGAATTTATAAGACTCATTCTCATGATCTTTTCTAACAAAGGAATGTTTGACCTATATAACTTGCGTATTTCATTTTATTTGATATTAATTTACATTTTGAACTTGTGAGTTTTTGTCCCATGACCATTGACTCTTAAATTCCATTTTTTGAGCAGGAATAGGTATGTTATTGCATGAAGCAGAAAAGGTTGAGCTCCAGATCCATGCAAGCAAAGACCTCATTCGCAGTGGTGATGATATTGATGTACGTTGCGGAGTTGTTGGAGACTCGTCTGCCTCAGTATCTTGGACCAAAGTTGGAAGCCAGCTTGCGAATAACGTCCGAGTTGTTGGAGATTCTTTAAGGTCTATATCGTTATCCTGGAAAGCTTTTTCTTATTTATGATGAATTTATCATAATTGGTTGCTGTAATGTCTTTAGAATTACTGATGTACGACCTTCAAATGGCGGTATTTATCGATGCAATGCGAAAACATCTGCCGGGCAGCAGTCAGAAGACTACACACTCAGCATTGAGGGTAACTTTCATAAAAGTGAGTTTCTACCTAACATTTCTGGTCTCTTCATTGATGATGTTAATTTCAGTGCCACCAGTCAATTTGATAGAGCCCCCTCCAGTTGAGACTCGCACAGCAGCGTACGGGATGACGGTGCTAATGGATTGCAGGACAGAGTTGAAGCCTCCTGTGAAGTACCTTTGGTCTAAGCTAGGTGGAGAATTGCCTCGGGATGCCAGAGGTGTAAAAGAGGTAATTCTATTTTCATGTCTGAGATTTTGTCAAGCCCTTTTATTCTAAAAATAAAAATAAAAAAAAATTGTTTATCAGTCTTTCTCTGAATTGATTTACTGTATTTCTAATTCCAGGCGACCTTGAGCCTTGTTGATGTAAGGGCACAAGATGCTGGTTTCTACACTTGCACTGCACAAAATGATGAGATGAAGATGGACATTCGAACTGTGCTGGTTGTCACTGGAGTTGTTCCTTACTTCCCTCAAGCACCCAATTCCTTCATGGCATTACCAACCCTCCTTGAAGCTTATCTTAATTTCAATATAACCATATCGTTCAAGCCAGAAAGATCCAATGGTAAGTGTATTTTTATGTGTCTAGTTGCTGTTATGTTCTCTTATAAGTAGCCTTACACGTGCATCTGTTTCAGGTCTCATACTGTACAATGGTCAGCAGAGTGGTGGCTCAGGAGACTTTGTGTCTTTAGGCTTAAATAATGGATTTGTCGAGTTCAGATTTGATGTTGGGTCGGGGCCTGCAGTTGTCAAGTCTGCATTACCTGTTGCTCTTGGCCAATGGCATACAGTCAAACTTATGCGAAGCCGTAGGGATGGTGAGTTCTTTTGTCTTATTTAAAATTATTTTTACATTTTTGCTTTTTGTTGTTTGTTCTAATTCTCCCTGTGTGTCATTCATGCTGCCTTCATAGGTGACATGTATGTAGATGGAGCAGGTCCTTACAGGGGAACAGCTGCTGGACGTTTCCAAGGTCTTGACTTGGTGGAACCATTGTACTTAGGTGGAGTTCCAGATTTCAGATCTATCCATAGACTTGCTGGTCATTCTCAAGGAATTATTGGTATGTGTGCTAGAAAGATTTTGAAATTAATGATACAAATATTTGCCTGAAAAAAAGCCTCAAACTTATAATTTTTAAATTATTTACAGGATGCATTAGTAGGCTTGTTGTTGGCGGAGTAGAACATGAACTTGTACGCGATGCAACAGCCACAGAAGGTGTTACAACGTGCGAGACGTGTGCTGGAAGCACATGCAAACACAATGGTGTCTGCCAAGAAGCAGCTACTCCAACTGGTCACACCTGTCTTTGCCCTGCTGGGTTCAGTGGGGATGACTGCAGTAAGACTGGTCAATCATGCTACCCAGGTCAGTGCACAACTTGTGACATTAAAATATGTACGCAAGGGGAAATGTTTGGTAATTAAAATGACATTATTTGATTTTAGGTGCCTGTGGAGCTGGACGGTGCGTTAATTTGCCGTTTGGTGGCATGGAGTGCCTTTGCCCTATGGGTAAGATAGGCAGCCACTGTGAATATGATGTGACCATTCAAGATCCTGCATTCTCAAATGGTGCTTATTTAGCATACACCACTCCAAAAACTCCTCGAAAGTAAGTTTGTATTTTATTTTGTTTTCTTGTGCTTTTAATTTGATTGTGATTGGTTGCACGCTAAGTGTGTGTTTCTCCTATCATTCTACAGACTGAAGATGACTTTACGTCTTAATCCTGCTGAGTTGTCAGATTCACTTGTGATGTACACTGCCCAAAATGATGATGGCACTGGAGATTTTGCTGCTCTCTCTATTAAAGACAGGCATCTAGAATTCCGTTTTGATGCTGGGACAGGTACTTAAAAAACTACTTTTTGAATATTCTGGATGTGACGTCCTTTCCCTTCTTTTGTCTTATCTTACTCTTGGTTCTCCTTGCTCAGGAACTTCTGTTTTGAGATCAAAGAGAGAGCTGCTGCAAGGTGAATGGTTCACAATTACTTTATCTCGGGACCCACGAGAAGCTCGCCTGTCAGTTAATGGTGAGCCTGTGACTCAGCGGATTCATGGATCCTCTAAACCACTCATCTTACAAACACCACTGTACATTGGTGGCTATGATAGGCAGAAGATCCGCCTAGCTCCTGGTATGAATGTTGATCAGGGCTTCTCTGGCTGCATTTCAGAGGTACAATAAAATTATCTGGGCTTCAAGTCTAAAAAATAATTCCACCATTTCTGGTAAATAATTTTGCTCTTTGGTTTTCACTGTTTTAAGGTTGACGTTGCTAGTCTTTCTCTTGACTTGATTAGCTCTGTGGTGGACTCTGCAAATGTAGAGGACTGCAGCACAAGACATGGCCAAAGGGGTGGTCGTGGAGGCCTGACCAATCCTTGTCATTTTACTCCTTGCCAGAATGGAGGAACTTGCAATTCAGCCGGTGGCCACCATTACACCTGCAGCTGTCCTGAGGGATTCAGGTACACATTTATTTTTTGACCTGCCTGTTAACTAGTATTAATTCAGATTGAATTCTAAAATGTATTTTTCATAACATTAATCATAATTTTTTTTTTCCAGTGGCAAAGACTGTGAAATTGAATTAGATATGTGCCTTGTCCTTCATCCGTGTCTCAATGGTGGTACATGCACTGGTTCTCAGAATTCATTCAAATGTCATTGCCCACTTGGCTTTGGTGGTGCAACATGTAGCGAAAGTAAGTTTAAACTTTACTTCAAAATTGACTTTGTTTAAGTATGAACACCCTCTTTTCATATGTTCATGCCCACAGGTGTACAATTCAGCTCACAAGTTAGTTTCAGTGGAGATGGGTGGCTTGAGTTAAACCGTGCTCTTTTGCACCATAAATCAACATCAGAAGATGAAGTGATAAGTATTCGCTTCACAACCAATGACACCAATTCTCTGGTTCTGTGGCATGGACAAACCCCTGATGTTGATGGCACGAGTCAGGACTACTTATCCCTGTCAAGTACGTTTCACTGCACTTGGAGATTCATGTCATAAATGAGCTGTAAGTAATCATTTTATCTTCTTCATCTTTCAGTCATTAATGGAAAATTAGAATGGAGCTATGAACTGGGCTCTGGACCAGCTCATATTCAACTTGGTGGAGTGAGTGTAAATGATGGGTTGCCACACACTGTCGTTCTGCGGCGACGTGCTGAAGAGGGCAGTATAGAACTTGATGGGCAGTCCTCTGCCCAAGGACATAGTAATGGCACCCTCATACAACTCAATGCAAATGGAAACATTTACATAGGTACGTATCATAGTTGCTGAAATATTTTCTTTGCCGTTTTGAAGGTTGCACCGAACCTTAGCCATGGTTCTTTGCTTGTAGGTGGTGTGCCCAACCCAGGCCTTATGACTGGCAACAAACATACTCATGGATTCTCTGGATGCATACATGCTGTACAAATACAACACTCAAGTGTGTTGAACCTTTATCAAGAAGCTGTGTCTGGTAGCAATGTTCTAAATTGTCCAAAGTAAGTGATTTGTTATAGACTAGCGCATTGATGTAAAGACATGTTAATTACCTCTTGACTGATCTAACTCACTAACACTGTCTTTCTGATCTCGTTTTATCTGGAATGCTGCTTGGATTCTTTAATTTACTTAATTCTGAAATAAGGAGTGATGTTCCTCCCCACAATAGGTTTAAGTGGACACCATCCTCTTTAGTTTACACAGATGCTGCAGAAATCCTTGAAATAGAACAGGACTTTGTGACAACATCTCAGCCTTTACCTGTCATGACTGATAGCTTTTTAGAATCTGGGGAAATAAGTCCTCATATATATGAAAAACCTTTTGACAGTAGAAACAGAAATCCTGTTGACGAAACACAAATATTAACTACTGAAAACTCGTATCCCGTAACCATAAATATTAACTCAATTAATCAGGACAATAATATTTTGAAAAGTAATGATCCCTTTTTAAGATCTAGTGATAATTCACACCCTATTTTTGATCCACCTTTTAATGATCTAGATACAGCTAGGCGAAAAAAGACCACCTCAAAGCCTCCTAATCCAAAGTCTTCATGTCATTCATGTAACTCTTCATTAAGTTTAGTTTTGTTGATGGTAATATTTAGTATAAGGACAAGCTCACCATTTTGGAGATAGAAATTGTAGGTATGACAAACCTTATTTTTATCATGTTCTTTTCATGTATGTCTCTTTGGAAATGTTTCATTCACACTCAGTTGGTAGATGTCTTAATGAACGTAACTCACAAGATGGTACTGTACTGTGAGATAAGGGCTGGATTCCTCACAGCATAGAACTGAATGATGTCATATTGATGACAATGAAAGAAACATCTTACAGTCTAACTCGCAACTTATCTTGTGCTTGCTTTAACAGTGCTCATAGTTCTGGGTGTATAGTGAATATATTGGTCCACCTTGCAAGCAGTAACACCTTTAACCCTTAACATAATACAAAAATGGTAATTTAAAAATTTTGCTTTTTCAGGTCTGATGATGACATTGATGAAGAAGACTATGCTGATGACCCAGCACATTAAATGTTCAAATAATGTTGCTGACAAAAGGAAACTATTCCAGTTTATGCTTTTACTTTGTCATTAGCTCATTGTTAAATTCAAAATAATTGTTGCATGTATTGAGTCCAAGATATTGAGATTCTGTACTTTGCTTGATCATAAAACACTTCTTCTTCTTCTTCACAAAAAATATCTCTAATTTACAGTCAATGATTTCACATGTGACCTGCTTTATTTTGGGCTGTAATTCTGTGTATCAGTAACGAAGATTTCATTCAGGCGTCATTTGAGCTAATGGTAAATTTAATGCTCCCTTTAACTATATGGAAAGCAGCATGTCCTCCATACCTTCCTTTGCAACATTTCTCAGTGATATTGTATAGCGCTTACCCATAGTTAATTTAAGTCATAGTCTGTACCGATGACAACCAGTCCTAGTTATGTTTCCTCATGTGTGTTATTTAATTTAACGTTTCATATAGTCATTTTCTCTCATTTTTTTATGTTTGTTTTTTTTTCCTTTTTTTTTTGCTTTAGCTTTGTTAAGAGCTAAAATGAGAGCTTGCAGTCAGAAGTAATGCTTGCTCTCATGCATGTGCCATAGCTCAATTATGAAAATAACACTAATTTGTACATTTTTACGCACAATGATTTTAGTTCTGCTTGTGAACGATAGCACTGCCATAATTTATTTTTATTGGTTTCAGTACTTTGGTTTGCAATGTTGTAATTGTGAAAGTGATGTGATTTTGTATCATAATTTCTCTTAATGTAACTCCATTTCAAAATTTTAACTATTTAAGGTATAGCAAATGATTTAGAGATAAAGTAAGCTGTTGAATCATGTAATGCCAAATTGTGTAATTATATTTATGTATTCCTTTTTACGTTTCTTTTTTTTTTTGTTGTTAAGCTGTGAATGTTGGGTGGAGCCTGATAACCTTAACTGTTACTGAATGAAGCACAATAAATTTGTTGATCTGTCATCAGTCATAAGAATATTTTATTTGTATGTTGATGGATACCCTGTTTTCTATCTTTTTGTATTAGTTGTAAGTGAGGAAATGTACATATTAGGATAACTACTTTCATTCACCAAATTTTGTTAACATCAGTCTAATCTTCCATATGTGTATGAATGTTAAGAATGAAAGTTTGACATTAATTTATTTGTACAGATATATGCTTTGAAAAATTCCTGTGTCAGGCCTCACTCAACGGCCATTAGTTTAGCAAAGGTGTCTTTCTCGCAAATGCAGAATGGAATGATTTTTTTTTTTAAATTACGGTAATTGTTTTTGTAAATTAAATGATCGAGTCCCATGAATCTTATATCTTATCTTCAGATACTTGGTACTCGACTCATGTCATGCTGGTGGTCTTGCATGTACAATACTGATACAAGAGGCAACTACTATCTTGAATGTAGATGACTTTACATATCAATAAAGAGGAATATTACATGGTGCTCATGAGTTCAGGAGACTTGCAAGTACTCGTGGACTTAGCACTAAAACTGGTGGATAAATGAACTTACGACTCAAGGGGAGTTATGAATAAAATTCATTCAGGCATGTTAAAAAATATTTTTGAAATGCTTTTTCTTTTAATTTCCTTGCTACTTCGAAGACAGATATACTTTGTCTAATAATTGTGATTGTTAATCCTCAACATCTACCATCCCACTTAGCCAGAACAGTATTCTATACCTATCTTATTATTTTTTAAAAATGTCAGAAGTTATAGTAATTGTTCCATAATATATATGTAAGTTGTTTGTCCATCTGCTTTCCCTCATGTTTTCATCGGTTGCTTGCTGTATCTGTTTAGAAAATATATGGACGTTAGCTGTGATGGCTTGAACAGGGGAGAGCTTTAGCTATAACAATACTACATTTGTGTGTAGTAACGTGTTGCCTGGCAATGTGCCAAATTTGTTGTTGAAAACTGATCAGGTAGGATTTATATCTGCAATAGAAACGACAGCTACATTAAGCGTGTCTTCAGTTAATGTCTTTGAGCAGCATAGCATAATAAAATTTTTAATATATTGACGGTATTTGATAATTAATCCTTGCAGCAAAATATTACAATAAAAGGAGACCTCCATCCTTATGAAAACAAGTTGCATTCCCCTTGGCTTGGAATGACAATTTTTGTTATGTATGTATGCTGTGTTGCTCTGCACAAGTTTTTAATTTTTTTCTAATAGCACTATAATAATGTTGACTGTTAGGAAGAGTATTTTCCTTATTGAGATTGATCACAATCACAAAAATGACAATAAAGACTTATGAAAACAAGTAATCAATTTATTTCCAAAGAGTGAATCCTTTCCTTAAACAGAAGTACTGGGATGACCCAAGTGGAGCCACCGGGCAACGCAATTGACACAGCAAATGGAATGTGTCAAGTCCATTGGGCTTGGGTCCAGAGGTCGCACAAACGATGTAGACCCAAAAATTCTAATGGCCCAATCTGGAGTTAACACCCTTTCGAGGATCATCGGCCCTAAACAGTCTTCTCTCGCTGAGGATACGATGGGTTGCCTACCTCCACGGCGCGCGACTGCGCCGTGCCGTGGGCGGCGTGGGGTAGCTCCAGAGGGCCGCGCACACCACGCTGCAGGCGCGGGGTATCGCCGCGTGGACCGGCGCTGCTCCACGAGGGATGTTGGCGTCGGCGCCTCGGCGTTCCCCTCAGTGAGTTGCCGGCGCCCGACCCTCACGCACCTCCGCGGACTGCGCACAGTGACGCCGCTCCCCGCTCAGGCCGCACCGCTCCGCGCCTTCCCGCGTGTTTCGTGCCGACTCTCGTCGCGAGCCACCCCCGCCGTCCCGTCCCGCGCCGCGCCGCGCCCCACCCCGCAGACCAAACATCCAGCATCCAGCGTCCGAACACGAAAGTTAGTAACGCGAAGGGAATCACAACGGCACCACTCACTTTAGGACTCTCACCTAGACCACCGCTGTCCACGCAACACACTTTACTTTCTCCTCGTCTTTCTGCAGTCTCTCCGGAGAGAGGCTGCGAGGCGGGGGAGGCACGGAAAGGCCGCGAGCTGGCTAGCAGAATCATTCCAAGCGGAGCTCTCGTCGCCTGTCTCTCTCGCACCCTACGGAACTGCCCACGAGTGCGAGAGAGATAGAGCGATGCAGCTGGACCGAGCGTGTTCGAAACCAGTCCAGGGGGCAGAGCCGAGGGCAGAGCGCTTCTCTCAATGAATGTCGAGGTGAAGTACCGATTGGCGAGCTTTCCGGGTTCCTATTCGCTACAGCGCGCTGTAGGAGGAGAGCCTCGGTGCTGCTGCAGGGCGGGGCCCGGGGCGCAGGGTGCTGGCACTGGCGACCTGCCCGCCAACTTGACGCACTGCTAGGAGGCGGCCAGGCACTGCACCAGGCAGGCTGCCAATCACAGTTCGAGAGCTCTTCAAAGAATGGACGGTCCTTTGACTTTTGGCCTCGAAACCCGCTGGCGCGCTGGCGGCTGAATGCCCCTCGCCTTCCGGGGGTCCCTGCACTGTGCACTGCCCTGCACTGCCCTCGCCGCCAACGCCAGTCCAGTCCACGAAGATGTCCTGAGGGATTGCCAGGTCACTTCCCTGCACCGCGGCCAGCACGGCCACCACGGCCAGCAGGGCCAGACACGCAGCGCCCGTCGAGGCGAGGCGGCCCACTTCGCTGCTCTGTATTCTCGGTGGCACCCGCGGCCACCGTGGACCCGCCCTTTTAGACCCTGTGGCACGGCGGCACGCTGGCACGGCGGCACGGCGCGCACCCCGCACTTTCGGGGCGCCACGAGGTTGAACTTGAAAAGGACCCGATACCCAGGCAGCCGAAGCGTACGCCTGCCGGGTAGGCAACCCATCGGGCCTCTAGCCCCTCGAGCATTACCACTACAGGCTGGACTGGGGTGCTCGCTCTCATGCGACGTGCGATGGGTTGCCTTCCCGCAAGGAGGCGTCTCTTCACGATCTCGTTCTCACTTTTGGACTTCGCCTAAGCACCTCATGGACAAGCCAAGACAAACAGAAAACAGTGTTCCGTAGATTGCCATCATTTTTCGGTTTTGTGTCGGACGTGGCGTGCCTCTCCCTGAAGACGCCTTGTACATCACTGCCACGGTGGGTGTCTCTGCCCAGACGCGTACAAACGGGTACCGGAGACAAACCTAACGGATCCAGGTGGCGGGGAAAAGGAGTAGTGCCAATCAAAGTGGGGCGTTGCACGTCGCAGGGGCGCAGAGGGGCGCAGTGGGGCCCTGGCGCTGGGACGCAGCGTGCAGCGGCGCGTTATATATCGCCCAGGTTCGCTGCGACGCGCGCCTGCCCCCGCCCTGCCCCTGCCCCGCCCGGCAGTGGTTTATGTGCAACGCCTGCGTCCTGCAGCCGCAATACGCCGCGCGCGCCGCCTCGTAATGAGCAAACGCAGCGTTGCCACACGAGTGGGAAAAAAATTCCCACGATGCGCCCGTGTCGAAAGGGTTGCCTACCCCGGCGTGTGCATTAGACAATACAGTACCTGGGCTTTACTTACGAGAAGTTGGCCGCCACGAAGGTTGGCATCCCTTTCGACACCCGCGGGGAATTTTTGGGCTGATTGTGCGGCAACCCCGGCGCAACCCTGACCAAAGCGAGCGAATGCGCGACCCGCATACGATTGGCGGAAGGCTTCGCTAGCTTCGCTCGGCGACGTAAAGACCGCCGCGAGATTGGCCGCATCCCCGTTGTTCTTAATATTAAAGGCGGCGCTTCGTGGCCTGGCCTGCCGTGGCCCGCCGTGGCCCGCCGGGCACCCGGGCACGCGGGGCACGAAGCAAAGATCATTGCGAATGCACGGGATCTCACACCTAGATAAGAGTGGGGGGGGGGACGAGGAGCAGGATTGGAGCGCTTTTATTTTTTCTTCTCTTTTTTTCCAGAGGGGCCGAAAATAAAATAAAATAAAAAATACCGAATGCCAGGGGCGGGCAGGGGGAAGCGCTCGAAGGGAATAGCTTTTTGTGGTCAGGAGGCGAGGGGGGGGGGGAGTGCTGGGGTGAATTAGTCCGCCGTTTGGCCCGCCCCGCCCCGCCGTCGGCAGGCTTTCAATTTTGAATGGCGTGCAGCGATTCCCCACCTGCATTATCACGTGCACTGTGTGCCAACGGCGCCAACGGGCCGCCGCGTGTTTCTTTTGTTCGTCCGTTCGTTTCATTTATGCATTCCCTCCGAATTAGTTCCTCGAGGGGATGATAATGTGGTGCGCCTCCGCGGGCCTGCAAGGGTGAAAGGGAATGACCTTGCCGCCCTTGGCGTCGGCCGCCCTTGGCGTCGGCCGCCCTCGGCGCGCAGGTGCTGCTTGTAGTGGAAGCCGCTTCGCCGCATCGACGGGACCCGTAATAAGGCCTGCGCACCGCGGTCTCGAATGGAGAAGAGGGAGGCGAAGCGGTTTGCGGCGGCAGTCTCCTTGAAACAGAATTCAAGAAGATAGTCGCGCGGGGGGGGTGGAGGGGAGGGGCGCCCCAGTGGTACCGCCCGTACCGCCACAATGGCGGGGAGCAGGGACTCGCTATACATGTTTAGATTGGTTTCACAGATTCGCCGGCAGCGTGCTGCCACCGCCACCACTGCCGCCCTACCCGTGTGGCCCGAGACCTGGTAAAGATGGTGTTATTTTGGCGTTCTTCGGACTCCAAATGTACTTCAAATTAACACCAAAAGGACACCATAAAAGCACGCTAAAATAACTCCATAATTACATCGAATGCATTTGGTGTCAACGCGGCGTTATTATGGAGTTTTTTTAGTGTAAAAAGGCTCGTTTTTTCACCAAAAGAACGCCATAATAATACCAAAGCAGAGGACAGCCATAGAGAAAAATGACAAAAGAGAGACGGCAGGTGTTGATCCCCAGATCTGCGACTCGGAAGTTTCGTGCGGAACCGCTTGGCCAGAGCGAGTCCGGGAGGACGAGCCGCACGGCAGCTATATGTCGTGCGTTGTGCCGCGCTCGGACTTAGCCCGAATCCCCGCGGCTGGAGCCCAATCTTGTTTCTATAAACATGAACTCGTACAGTGTAGCAGACCATTACAGGTCCTGTCATGTTTATAGAACATAGAACTGGAGCCCAATCTTGTTTCTATAAACATGACGGAACCTGTAATGGTCTGCTACACTGTACGAGTTCATGTTTATAGAAACAAGATTGGGCTCCAGCCGCGGGGATTCGGGCTAAGTCCGAGCGCGGCACAACGCACGACATATAGCTGCCGTGCGGCTCATCTTCTCGGAGTCGCTCTGGCCAAGCGGTTCCGCACGAAACTGCCGTGTCGCAGATCTGGGGATCAACACCTGCCGTCTCTCTTTTGTCATTTTTCTCTATGGCTGTCCTCTGCTTTGGTATTATTATGGCGTTCTTTTGGTGAAAAAACGAGCCTTTTTACACTAAAAAAACTCCATAATAACGCCGCGTTGACACCAAATGCATTTGATGTAATTATGGAGTTATTTTAGCGTGCTTCTATGGTGTCCTTTTGGTGTTAATTTAAAGTACATTTGGAGTCCGAAGAACGCCAAAATAACACCATCTTTACCAGGTCTCGGGCCACACGGGTAGTCGTTCGGATGGTTCGGATCCGCTGCCACCTGCCCCCGGGGACGCACCCCCCCTCCCCCGCGGGTGAAGAGGGCGTGATTTCCACGCCGTGTTCTCTACATGGTTAATGCACAGCCCCGGCCCGGCCCACTCGGCCCTTGTTGCGGTGAGCGCGCACCCAGCAGCGGTTGAACGCGAGTGTAGGGGGCGGGGCGGGGTGAAGTGAAGCGAGGTCTTTGGCGGGGGGCACTTGGCTGCTGCTCAGCCATTTGCCATTTCTCGTTCCGTATTCCATCCATTCCCCCCGCGTGCATACCTCTCCGTGCAAACGATCGACAACAAAAGGCGCACAATACGCGCGCGGGAGAGTGTGTGTGTGACGGAGTGCGTTTGAGTGAGTGAAGGACTCTGTCTGTGTGTGAGTGAGTCAGTGAGTGGGTGAGTGAGTGTGATGAAGCCGTGATCCGGTCATGAGTATGGAATCGCCGTTTGAAAAGGAATAAAGAGTATTCGTATTTTCAAAACAAGTTGTAACGCATCAAAGCAACGATCGGCACATCTGTGTGGGGTGGTATCTATTGGGGGTCGGTCGGTTCGTGGGGGCATCGCTGATTCTTTCTCATTGCTGTGTTGAGACCTGCCGTGTCTTTTTTCCCTAAAGGGAGTGGCGTATCTTGAAGCGGCTTTGGTGCAGGTACTTACTCGCGTGGTGGTGCTGTATGCCGCAGGTCGTGTGTTTGTCCCCCGCCCCGCCCCGCCCCGCAACCGCACGACCGCACGGGCCGCGGCCTCGTGCCCTCCCCGTTGTGGGGCCAATTCAACGCCCATCAAATAGAGCGTCCGAAGCTGCGCCAAGCCGCGCCAAGCCGCGCTAGCGGCGCGCACCGCGGCTGCGGCCATGCGGCAGCAGGCCGGCCGGGCCGTACCGGGACTTGTCAACAGTCTGTGTGTGTGGTTAGGCCCGGCCGGGGCCAGGCCCTGGACGGCCTCGGGTACAAACTCTGGCGGCCCAACAACAAAAAACAAACACAACAACTCAACTGTCCCGGGTCCCCTGCGTGGGCACGCGTGTCCTGGTACCGAAATAGGTGGCGACCTATATCTGGCGGTCCAGCAGACTGAGTCCGAGAGTCGTCCTCGTCGCTCTGTCTCTCTCGCACTCATGGGGCGCCCCGCATTGGTGCGAGGGAGACAGAGCGATGAAAAGGACACTCGGAATGAGCCTGCAGCTGGTGGCCGAGGACTCCAGGGGCTCCAGGATGGGGACGGGGCGGCGATGGTGGAGTAATCGAGGGCGAGGCGGTGGAGGGCGGCCAAAGGGCCGCGGCGCAGCGGGAGGAGCGACGCACGGCGACGCAGCGAGGAAGAGCTACGGCCCCAATTTGTTTAGATGCACGTCGCTCTCTCTCTCTCTCTCTCGCTCTCTCTCTCTCTCTCTCTCTCTCTCTCTCTCTGTCTCTCTCTCTCTCTCTGTCTCGCATCGCAACGTGTGGGGCCGGGACGGGCCCGGACGGGCCGCGCCCCCTTGTCACAGCACAGGGGCCTGCCTGCCCGCCCTGCCCGCCCTGTGCGCCCTGCCACCGCGACAGGGCGTGTGGACGCTGAGCGGTTCCCCGTTGCGGTGTGTTAGTGTGTGTGTGTGTGTGTGTGTGTGTGTGTGTGCGCGCGCGAATGCTTGTGTGTCGTTGTGAGCCCGACAAGGCGCCCTGGTATGTGAACTCTAATGGAGTGCCCTGATGGCGCGTTCGGTGTCGTGTCGTTTGCGCGATAGGCACTGTTTCTGTTTCTAGACTAAAGGACTCCCGTCTCGATTTTGCGTTCGGCTGCCGTTTGCACGACACAGTCGCTCTGGTTGAGGTCGGGGCCATGGCGCCTCCCGTTTTGCGTTGGCGGCCGTGCCCGGCCGCGCCTCTGGAGGCCGTCTTTTCAATGCCTTTTTCTCCGCTCCCCGGGGTCTCATGTATGCAAAATTTCCGGCGCCACCGCCTCCGTGCACCTCACCACCCCGCACCACCCCGCACCACCCCACTCCGCGGTGCCGCCAAAACGGCGTCGCCGGGCCGATAAATATATTGCATCGCGGCAGCAACAACAACAGCAGCAAAAACAACACCAACAAAGCCTTGACGCCTCTGGACGTGTTGCAGGGAGCCATGGACAGCCGATGGACCAGAGCCGCCGCCTTCGTCGCGCCCGCGGCCGTCATGCTGATGCTGATCACAGGTAAGCACACCGACTGGCTTGTCACCCGCGGGTATATATATATTGTTTCATACACAATTTTAATTACTATCTTTGGAATGAGCCCGCCTACCCCATATAAGGAAACCGAACGAGTATTGACTGAGAAATTTTGAAAGGGAAAAAAAAAAATTGAACTCTACCCCCCCTCCCCAGTCTTAATGGGGAGGCCTCCTGCTTTACTTCGGTGTTCGGGATGGGAACCGGTGCTATCATCCCGGGGGGTTAATCCCGTCAGCGCCCCAAAGCGTTCGCCGGGGACCCAGTAGGACCCCAAAGCTCAGGCAGCTGGGTGAGAGCACCCAGTACGAAGCTCTTGAGGGGCGGGACGTAGAGTGAGACGACAGAGAGACAGAGAGAGACTCAGACAGAGAAGGGGTTTGGGGGGAGCTTCTTGTTTTCGTGGGGTTTGGTTGTGTTTACCCCATGGTACCCCCACTGTCCGGCGCTCCCGTCCGAAAAACAGCTTTTTAGGCCAGCTTCAAAGGACTTATCATCGCCTCCCCGACGGATCAAGGAGGCACCACCCGAAACCACACACCGGGTGGTCTGGATTGATGGATCAAATACGCCATCGCTCCAGTGCCGAGGCCAACCCGCCGAAGCGGATTGTTTTTTAGACACCCACAGCGGAGTGGCCAGGTGAATGTGACTCTGACCACTACGCTATCACGCTTGTACGTCTGGCAGCGTGTTGGACGACGGGTTTGAGTTGCAGTGGGAGGAAGGCGGTCGAAAAATGTAATGAAATGATGGGATTCGATCCCCGGACCCCGCCATCGGGATCACACGACTTTACGCTCTCGGCCACCACGGCCCATGATGAGGGGACCGGCGTGAGGTGGGTTCTTGACGCAACAGAACTCGACCGACCCGGTAAAAATTTTCGCAAGAAGTTGGGGGAGTCGAACCGCCGACCCTACATTGGGACCGACGCCTCTACTCCCTGGACCACCACGTCCCATGCCGGAGTGGGCTCACGTTCACGGGTTTGAACCGCACGGGGTGAGGCAGTAAAATTAAAGGGAAATATTTGTTAGGAGTCGAACCTTCGGCATGTGGGCCTGTTGAACACGGCTCCACTCTCATGGCCTCGAAACACCACCCTTAGGATAGCAAGTCGAAAAAAACTTTTGTGACGCTGGTATTCGAACGCCGGCCTGCGGCAACTCGATCCCACGTCTCTAACCTCTCGGCTATCACAGCAGTTGTGAAACGCGATGGATCATCTGCTTTCATTAACGTTCGTTGAATGAGATTTTTTTTTCAATCCTAATTTTTGCAGTGCGTATTTGGGGCTTGTCAGGCTCATTCAGTCGATCCGGCACGCAAGGTGAAGGTGACACGCCGAAGGAGTTAACCCTGGCCCGAGTTCGCTCGCGGCGTGGCGGGGCGGGGTGGGGCGGGGCGCGGTGCCCAGCTGCGTGTTAATTTGAGGCTCAATGGAGGCTGTGTGAGGGAGAACGCCCCCCCCCCCCCACCCCGCGGGCTGTGCGGCGCGCGGTGCGGCGCTCGCCAGAAATCGCCACCCGAGAACGATTCGTAATCAGCGGCGCTCTCGGCACTCGGCGAAGAAGTGGGGCAGAATGAAGGCCTCGGGGCTCGGGCCTCGGGGCCGGCGAGGTGGAGGGAAGGGCCGTGGAGGACGTCAGGTCGTCGGGCCGTCAGCCCGTCAGGGACGTGCGACCAATCTGGGGGAAAATGGGGACTCATCCGGCTGCCCTGGGCTGCCCTGCGCTGCCCTGCGCTGCCCGGCCAGGTGCTAGAAATAGCATGCTCACGCAGATCCGGGCGGCGGCGGCACCGGGGAGGGAGAGGGAGGAGACGGGCTGGTCGATCAGCCCTACAGGAGCACTGTGTAGACGACAGCCATCAGGTTGAGGGTCAGTTAATTTTGGAAATGCATCCTGCCAGCGTCTGGCGCAGCTCTCGGCTCGCCGCTCCCTCAAGGAAGCCCTCCCGCTGTGATCATCTCGTGCCCCGGTGCCCCCGCAGCGCGGCGTCCTGCAGACAGGCCGTGCGAGAGAGAGGGGTGTAGAGAGACAGAGGGAGAGAGAGAGAGAGAGAGAGAGAGAGAGAGAGAGAGAGAGAGAGAGAGAGAGAGAGAGAGAGAGAGAGAGAGAGAGAGAAGGCGAGAGGGGAGCGCGCTCGCCTCCTCTGTTTACTCGTGCGTTACCTCCCTGCCGGTGAAGGTCGTCCAAAAGACTCGAGACGACTGCGAGGAGCCCGAGCCCAGCCTGGCGCGGCCTAGCCCGACCTAGCTCGGCCTAGCCCAGGATGAGGAGAATGAGTCCCATCCCGGGAAATGCCCCGCACCGCCACCGCCGCCGCCTAGCGCCCCGCCGCCGACGTCGTCTCGCCAGCCCGAATGAAAGGGGGCAGGGAGGCGCGGGGAGAGGGGTCTTTTTCACCGTCTCGTTGTCAGGCGGACGACGAAATGTCGCTCATCGCAAACGAGGAGCCGAAGTGGTGTCGAGGAGTCGAAGCCTGGCGGATTAGAGGGATCATGCATTATCACATGGCGTCCGTGCAGGCCGTCCCCACGAGGCGTGCCCCCCACCCCCGCCCCGGCCGCGCCGAACCGGGCCCGATACAGAGGCCCCTTCTGTGTAAGTGACAGGGACAACACACCCGACACACTCTCCATAGAACGTGATGCCGTGATCAGGCGTCGCCCCACCCCCTTCCTTCCCAGCCCCTTTTCCCGCTACGGTGCAATGTTGACGCGGCTTGGCCGGCCTACACACACGCACGCACACACACACACACACACACACACAAGCCCAGAACTGATCGGTGTTAGGGCCAGGAACAACGCTTCGCGAAAATATTATTGCAGCTCCGAATCCGGACAGCCGATTCCGGAGCCACTCTGCTGCGACGCTGCGACAGTGGTGTGCGTGCGTGTGGATGCACGCCTCGCCTGAGTTTGCTCGCCTGAGTCGCGGGAGAAGGATGAAGTGGAAAGGCTGGCAAGGCTGGCAAGGCTGGCAGGATGCGGGACAAGTCCCTGTCGCGTCGCGATGCGAGAGCCGCGAGAGTCCGCCGCCAAGTCTACTGCAGGCTGCGACTGCCAGCCCCGCCGCGCCGCCCCGCCGCAGCAGCCAGCCCAGCCGCTTGGCTGCACACTAAAAATGCGCACGTCAGAAAAACAGATAAGTTTCAGAGCCGGGCGCTGAGAGGGGGCCACGTCGCAGCGCAGTCGGGCGGGGCGGGGCGGGGCCGTGGATTTGTTGGCGGCGGGGCGGGGCGGGGCGGCATTGTTCCACGCACCGCGGAGCACCGCGGAGCAAGCGCCGAGGAAGACAACAATGCCGAGGTCGTGTACTGTGTACCTCGGTGTACCTCGGTGTACCTGCAGTGTGGGGCCGCGGCCGCCGGGACGACTTTTGTTGCCCCGACTACGGAGGGGCCGAGCACTGAGGGCAGGGCGGCCGATGGTTCGACCGGCTGCCACAAAGTGCACGGTACAAAACCTCGGCAATTTCCCGCCGCCAAATCAGGCCAACAAATATTGTTACAACGAATAGCGAAGCAGGCAGCAGGTATTACGGCATAGCGGCCCGGCCCGGCCACCATTGGCCGCCATTTGAATTTCAAGTTGGAAAACGCGCCCTCGCCCCAAACTGGATTACCCCCGGAAGGAAGGCGTCCCGCCTCCCCCGCGCTGCCGCCCGCTCGTCCCGGAGGCCGTGCTGCAGGACGAAGACGACGCCCTCCGCGTCGAGGCCCCGCGCCCCCGCGCCCCCGCGCGCACGCCGAGCAGAGCGAAGCAGAGCGGCACCGAGCGCGCCGGCAGCAGCGCGGAGGAACAGCGCGAGCAGCAAAGCCGATCAACATGGAAATCTGGGAGCCGCTGAGACTAAGTCTCCGGGCCGCCTCGCCCGCCGAGCGAGTAGTCGTTTAGTTTTGAGGCAACAGCGCAGCGTGCACGGCGGCGTGCATGGCGCGGCGTGCATGCACGGGGAGCACAGCGGCCGCTAAAAATAAAAGCACTCGCGGCCGGGGGAGCGAAAGGGCGCCCGCTGCACTTGCAGCGCACAGTGTACACTACTTTGCGCGAATGAAAACGGCAGCGAGTGGCCCTGGCGGCCCTGGAGGCCCTCTGCCCCTTTTGCGCCTCTTCTTTCCCGCAGTCTGCGGTCGGCCGCGGCGGGGCGGGGGAGGGGGAGGAGAGGTAAGGGACTGCCTAGGAGACTGCCACACATTGTGCCCTGCTATGCGTTCTAGGCCGTGCCGTGCCGCCCCTGCATTCCCCGCCCCACCCTCGAGGCCTTAATCTTGGGCCGTCTTGGACGGCGGTTCTGCGGCGTGCCCGCCGTCGCGCCCAAGGAGGTGCCCGAGGCCGTGCTGCAGGTGAAAGGGACTCCCCCGTTTACCGCCCTTTGTCCGGTAGCCTGCCAGGTGGTTCAGGCGGCGCAGACGGGGCAGCCAGCCAGCCAGCCAGGCGGCGCAGACGGGGCAGCCAGCCAGCCAGCCAGGCGGCGCAGACGGGGCTGGCAGGAAGTGCGCCGGGGTTTGGTAATTGGCGCTACATTTGCCACTGTCTGGCGCGGCTGCCGCCGAGGCTGCCGCTCGGGACGTATTGGTGTTGCCCTTCGGAGCGAAGAAAAGGGGTGTTGGCGGTGCGCAGACCCGTTCAAGTTAGGCGCCGTGACGCGTTTTATGGCCGCTGCTCGTGACTGGGCGACTATTTGGTCCATTAAAAGCGGCGAACCGGTGTTTCGGCGGACCAGGAGCGGGCGAGGAGTGGCTGGAACACGGCCTTACTTTATTGTCCCCCTGACCCACGACGCGCTCGCCGATTTTCCCATCCTTCTTTCAAGAAATGAAAGTTGTCCCCCCTTCCCTCCCCCGCCCCCTCCCCTCCCGGCTTCTCGGTATCGCCATAAAATGAATCAAGTTCCCCGCAGTGCCGAAAGGCTGCCGAGCTAGTTGCGTCTTCAGAATCGCTCTGCCGGTCTTCCTCCTCCTCCTCTTCG